TAAAACACCAATATATATATATATATATATATATAGAATAGAATAGAATAGTATATATATATATATATATAGAATAGTATTATATATATATAGAATATATGTACTGTAGTATACGTATAGGATATATGTACCTTGGGTCGCATCCAAATCGGTCGCTCGGCTAGTTTTTCCTTGAGCAGGCCCATCACATGTTCCTCCATGTGCAGCGGAATGCCTAAAAACGACGTCAGAAGTCGATGGCGTCGTGCTCATCATGGGCTCACCTCGTGTCTTGGGCAGGCGCTGGACCTCTTGCGGCACGGGCGAGTTGGACCGAAAGTTCGCATAAGTGAAGAAATGCCGAGGCACTTGCTTCAAGTCGCTTGACGGCGTCTGCGTTTCGTTGTACATGGGGCGCTGTTTGAACTCGTACTTCAACGGCAGGTCCACGCGCGAAAACACTTCCGGAATGAGCTCGAGGTCATCCTGGGTGCTGGCTTCAAGGTACGTGCGCAGACGGACGTCAAGGGGGTCGTTGGCGCGCTCTGTGTACTGATTCGCCGCCAAATACTGGTAGTCCACCATGCCTTCGCACACGAACTTCTCATGGGTGACCGTCGCGATCTTTCCTGAGAGCTCGCCATGGGAACGCTTCTTCTTGGTCACGTGGAGGAGAAATGTTTGCGTCTTGGCTCGGTCTGCAAAGATCGGCTTGGCGTTTGGTTCCCGTGGACGCAACTTGACGGGCAAGAACGGCGTCTTGGTGTGCTGGATCGTCTGTAGATTGGTCGTGCCACCAAAGTACGACGCCATGTCCGCGCCATCCTTGAACAGCATCGGCATCTCAATGCTGATGTTCGACGCATGTCCTTTCGGGATTTCCAGACGCATCGTCGACGCTGGTGCCGTCGCTGAGTCCCCCGCCATTCGACGGGAATGCCGATTTTCAACCAAACGAATCGCCTTGTGGAATGCCTAAACTAAACGCAAACTGCCGAACTGTGGTTTGGCCAATCGTTCGTTTTAAAGTGACTTTCTAATTCGTTGATTGGACAGAAGGAAATTGTTTTATAAGCTTAGCCTCTGATTGGGCAGAAATGCAGTTGCATCAAATTTCAACACACATCTGTGACGTGGCGTGTGGAGCTCTGAGAGTGGCAGCGCTTCAAAACTTGATCGTTCATCCACCGCAGCACATGCAACATGCGCGCAGGCAGGCAGCAGCGTTGGTACTACGGAGAAGTGCGACTCGAGGCGTCGATCAACGTCCGGCGAACAGGTGAGACATATTCGCCGGACGTTGATCGACGCCTCGAGTCGCACTTCTCCGTATACGTATGGGCGCAGTTACAGTCCGTACGAAAAAGTCGTTCTCGACCAAGCCCAAGTGGCGGCGGTCGCCACCCAACTGGTCGAGTCCTACGGCGCCCAAGTGGGCGTGTTCTCGGCGCTGCTGGCGACCACCGCCGTATGTCTCGTGGCTATGGTCATCTACATCGCCAAGTTGAAGGCAAGAACTGTGGTTGAGTCCAAGGAAGTGGTGGACGAGACGACTGTGGAGGCGCCGCCTGCTGCAAGGGCTGACGAGCCGAAAGAGGACATGACGGTCACAGTGTAATAACTAGGCAGCAAACTAAACATGGAATTTGGTAGCCAAATCGAAATGTATATAATGTGTTGTGTTGACAGTGAATGAATCATACTGCCGGGATGTACGTAAACATTGACGCTGTCCATGAGAAGAAGGTTGTGCTGGCGGAATAATAATACTCCGGAGTATTTGAATTCGCTATAACTTCCAAAATTCCCCTGGTTTGTCGAATCAATATTGAATCACATCGGAGTTCTGATTGGTTGAATATAATTGTCCTTACTGCAAAAGCCAATCAAATCCACTCAAAAATGGATTAGCCAATAGCGTCGATTCGTGATTCGATTCAGCGGCGAGATTCGATTCGACGGGGTCTGGAAATTTGTACCGAATCCACAATAGTACTCTCTGACATATTAATACATGTAATACGTTATTAAAACTTTGATAAATTTATTTACTGCAAAGTGAACCATGTCATGCTGCTTCTTGTTTCGCCAAGTCGATAAAATGCAGTCCAGAAAAAATAGCAAACGTTAACGAAATATTTCTGGTCTGGGAGGACTGTTACCAGGTATATTATTTATGAATAATGCCAGCACCTAATATTACTAACAGTAATATTAGTAATACTTCAGAGTACTAGTATTACATACCACGGTAGTATTACAGTAATTTATTCCCGTCCCTTGCAACTTGCGGCTGCTTTCACAGCATATAGCATTAAACCCGGGCGGCATACAAGGACAACACTCGCAACGTTATGGTGGTGAATGCGCTACATACGAGTACTTCGAAGTGCATAGCGTTTTTGCCCCAAATTATCACGACGGTTTGTCAGTGCCGGTTCACAGGAACTGGATTCTAAATTCGGATTGGTTAATAAGATGTTCGTAAAGTTGAATCAGCCAATGAATTCGCGTTATTCCGGCCGTGAGTAATACACTTGGATCAATTCCACCAATGAAATTGATTCGAAACTTAGAGAGGTGCAGACTTTTTTTCTCCGAGTAGGTTGCCTTTTTCATTTGGGCAAGAGATGATGGACGACCACCTCCCTCCTGCCACCCTCGCGACGGAAGACATTCACGTGTCCATGGCTGTCTTACCGACTCCGTCTGCAAACTCTGACACCACGGCCGCCGCCATGTCTTCGGCTGGTGGCACTGCATTCGCAGCAACCTTCCAAACTTCGTCGTCACCGATGTCCGCAGCCGCACGCGCTGCGTCGCCACGAACCGCCCGACTGTTGTGGGACTTGGAAGCGGAATCCATCGGGTCCTTGCCTCAATCCCCACGACATCAATCTCGCTGGAAAGCCAACGCCACGTCCGCCGTCGTGCACAACTCGCCTCGCCCAGTGCCAGCGCCGAGACTGTCTCCGGCCCCACCTGCTGCTGCCGTGGAAGAGAACTGCTGCTTAATCTGCATGGATGATTTCACCGAACGAAGACGGCCGTACCCTGTTCCATGCGTGGGGTCGTGTACTGGCGCCTACGTGCACTACCGTTGCATCATGGCATGGCTGGGGCAGTCCGGGAGCTGCCCGCTGTGCCGCGGCCCTTGCGACGCATTGGCCATGGAACCCACGCAGACCCTCGATTTCACAGGTATATATCCATCCGTTTCCTATGATGGTACATGTTGATTCTGATTTCTTCGGTAGACTTGGCCACGATGGTGATGCGACCGGTACCGCTGGATGCTGGGATCGTGCGGTGCTACGTCAAACAAGTGTACCGCGGCTTCTTCAACACGTACGGCTACGAATTGTACCTGCAGGGCCGCATCGGGACGGACGAAAGCGACCGGTTCCTGCTCGCGTCCAAGAAGCAAATGCGGAAAAACATGACGGGGAATTACGGCATTTACGCATCGCCTTCGTGCGACGAAGGGTCGCGCGTGGGGCGCATGGGGTCGAATTTTCTCGGAACGGTCTTTACCTTGTACGACAACGGCCGCGACCCGCAAAAGGTTCGTACACACGACCGGAATGTTGGTTGACCCTGGCGTTTTTAGGTGGCCAAGATTCAAGACGGGGCGGCGGCCACCGCTACGTCTGCGACACCTGAAAGCAACCTTGGACCAGGCGACAATGTGCTTCAGATTCGGGAAGAGTTAGGCTGTTGCACATACGAAGCCAACCGCACTAGTGTCGGCCCACGTAAAATGCGGGTAAGAAGACCTATTTGCAACTATATATATAGTTTCGAAGTATATATATATAAATATATATATGATTTGATACGAATGATCACACCGATAAAACCCGACCACGAATCGTTCCCATTGGCGAATCTGAAAATCCTTGTCGCTGATTGGCTGCTTTACTTTTTTTTCTTTTTACTCCGTGCTTTTTGCGGGCCAATGAAATTTCGCGGCGAGCGTTGGATCGGTTTTACGAATCGCCCAGAATTGGGAAATTTGTAAATATTAGCAAATCAATTATATGTATATGAACAGCGATCGAGTATATGGTTGTGTTGCCTTTGAATGTACCAACGTTGTTGTGTAGGTGTGCATTCCAGATGTGGACGAGATGGGGCGTCATTCCAAGATTGTACGACCTATGAGCCAACGCGACCGGATTGTGAGTCGCATGGCCACGGGGGAACTCACGGTACGCTATCGTATCGAGTGTTTTACATAAAAATAAATAGAAGCACTTCCAAATGGCCACGAAATATTTTCATAACAAACGACGATATATATGATGTAGGACTTGGTCAAGTTTGTGAATCGCGAGCCCGTGTTCCGGGAAGACCTTGGGGCGTACTGCTTGGACTTTGGTGGGCGCGTATCGATGGCCTCAGTCAAGAATTTCCAGCTCATCTCGGCCGACGACCCGTCTATGGGCAATGTGCTGCAGTTTGGGCGCGTGGCAGACGACATGTTTACGATGGACTTGCAGTGGCCGCTCTCACCGTTCCAGGCATTTGCCATTTGTCTAAGCAGCTGCGACACCAAACTCGCCTGTGTCTAGCTAGCCAGCCACCCACCCAGCCACCTCCTAATCCCCCTATCTAGTTAATCAATCATCGTCAACCTCGAATCACTTGGTCGTAGAATATGTGTGATACAGGATGTGTAGTTACTAGTAGCAGCACTACCTAGCTTGCTCCTTCTGGTTGATTGTTATGAGTAGGTAGGTACTGTATATATATATATATACACAAACGTAGTCTGTACTAGTGTGTGATGCAGTTGCCCATGCAACGAGAAGCCACGTGTTATATAAAGGAACGGTCATTTATTACAGTATGAAAATCTAGTTTAGTGAGTTTGCACTTGACCATGTCGATTGAATCGAGGCAAAGTGCCGCACAATTCCCTGGTCCTGGGCGTAGTAGGCAGCCACTGGCTTGTGTGCTTTGATGTCCAAATCGACTATCGCCACCACGACCTCGTACGTCTGGCCGTTCCAAGTGGCCGTGTGGTGATGGTGGCCATTGGATAACTGCAGCTGGCGTTCGCTGGAACATCTTGCATCGGGAGGTGTTATCGACATCAACGACGGGATTGGCCTCAACGACAGCAGCACGGAGCAGTCCTTGAACGTAGTCGCGACCAAGAACGAGTCCAGCACGTCACTGTATACTGTTTGAAACTGCCCAATCGTCAATTCTGTCCAACGCTCTACATTCACATCCGTATTCGTCAACAGAGCATGTGGCATATACATGTCCAGCTGGCGACTCAAATCCGTCGACAGCATCGGCAGGACTTGGCCTAGTGTTTGAGATACCGGCATCGTTCCGTCTTCAACTTGTCGTTCGCTATCCGAGAAGCTGATGACGTCAACGATGGCGGCGTGCAATTGGCTCAGAGCAAACACCCCTTCAATGTCCAATGTGTCCTTGGCGTGCATAGCTTTCAGATCGTCGAGGAGGTCCACATGGGAATGGAGTAGCTCGACGACCAGGTCCAACTGGTCTGCAGCCATGGAATGTTCTGCCGAGTGTTCCAGCGAATCGCCAGCCTCAGTACATGACGAAAACACGCGCAGGTTGTTTTGCGGCGTTGAGCTCAACGACGTGAGCGCTCGAGCAATGCGAGCTTTGTCGTTGGAGAACAAATCCAATGGACAGTAGGCGCTGGCACGGACCACTTTGCCTTGCGCTTGCTTTAAGAGCTGGTGCATGCAAAAGCGACAGGCTGTTTGCTTGACAGGATGGAGGCCGGGGGCGGACGGCAACAGCCCGTGCTTGGGCTTGATTTCGATACTCAGGGCGGCGTCTGGGAAGGCCACGTCCGGCAGAAGCATCACCCATGTCAATGCTGTGTCGAGCGAAGAAGCGTGTCGGTGCACTGGCCGGCGCGATGTGGCAGCGTCGGCCATGAGCAACTCGTTTAACCTGACAAGAAAGTCGACAGTGACAGACTCTGCGCGGGCCACTTGTACATACGCGTCACGAGAACCTGGCGGCGTGTTGCGCTCGGCGAACTTCACAATGTCCTTTGGATGGGCACCGCGCACGCCTTGCTTTCGTACGCGCATGACCCACCCGGTCAAGGTTGTGGGCAATCCGACATACCGGAAGATCACGTTAGCGCCGCCTTCGGCAATGTACGTCCAATCGGATGGCTCCGTTGATAGCAATACGGTATCTGGTGCGATCGAGGAAAGTAGAGGCGGTGTGAATGCACGTGATGCAACACCCGAGCCTGCTGCTCGTGGATGCGATAGGAACATGGCGGCAGCGCGTCGATTCGTTGTGCGAACGTTATCCGGATTCTTCCAGCCTATCCGGAGTATCTAGATAATTCGTACAATATGGAGAAATCTGTAATATCCTACCGTGGTATGCTTTGAAATGAGCATCGCACCCACGACAACAAATCTATGGCCCACAAATGTACAGAAAAGAGACACCGTCGATGATGTGCATACATCGATGCAGGATGGATGATGAAATTGCGCTGTTTGTAAAGCTACAGCTTCGCGAGAGCTATCACCATAGTTTCTGCACTGTAAATGTACTTTATCGGCATAAAAAAGGATTGTGGTAGATTAAATTTAGGTAACACACATTATACATTTATATTGTGCTTTCGAGTGAAATTTCGTGTTCTGGTATCTCGTTGGAATTTAAATCGATTTGATTGGCTACTTCAGATGAGCGCAAAATTATTAGCCAATCAAAACCTTCTAAATTAAATTCAACCAATCAGAGCGATTGTGGATCGGTTTGGTCGGCGCGATTCGATTGCACCGCTCACCAAATTTGGATCAAATCGATAATACTGTATTAACTGTTAATAGTTGGAATGTCACGACCGGCGACTACCTCCAGGATGGATGGATCGACTTGACTATATACGTACACTTGCTTGGTATTGAAATCGTTCGTGTTATGTGGTACATATTTGAAGCAAGATAGATCGGTGGTGGTGTGTGTGTATTCATGCTCGACGTGCACAACAGTGGCATCGTTGACACTGCAAAGCCGACACGAACTGTCCACGGCGGATGATTGTTTTCAAAGGCTGCGGTGAATTGTCCTCCTTGGTATTCGTACAGGTGGCTATATGTTGTGGACATGATGCGCTGTTGGATTGTGGCAGTACTACGTAGTACTTTATACAAAGTCATAATATTTCGCATGTCCTTGCGAAGTTGTCGGGAACGTGCAGCACTGAGGCTGGTGGGGATCGTTAATTGCAATATTGTCGTTGGTTATTCTCCGATATTCCACCTAGTACTTCGTAGCAACAACAGTCTACCAGTGTTTCACTCGGTCCTGCCGCGAACCACCCACCCACCCAGCCATACATACCTGCCTACCTACCTCCCCACACAGACACCATGGTCGGAGCTCCGTCGTTGTAAGCCAAACTGTGCACGTTCAATGGCTGCGATCGAAATGGCCCTCCCGACTCGGATCGATGCACCAGCCAACGCGCTCGAAAGCAATTCCGAGTCTCGGGGTGTGCCAATGTCGTGTACGCCCGCCAGTTGTGCGTCCGGCACGGAGGCAAAAAGCAATGCCAGTATATAGGGGGTGCACGTCGTCTGCCCCAGAGGGGATCTCTGCGTAGCCCATGGGGACGAAACCATCAAGCGATTCTGCAGCATCGAAGGCTGCCGTCGCCAGGCGCATGCCAAGCGTTTTGTGTCCATCACGGCGGCGGGCGGCTCTGCCAACACGACGGAGGGTGTGCGCACCACGCCCGAGCGGGGGGATTTTGCCACAGACACAAGTAGTCGGCAGGTAATGAACGCCGACCGCGGCCGTCATCAAGGGCGTCATCACCTCCATCGCCCCCTTTTTCGTTGGTCGATGGTCTGATGTCCCCCACACTTTCCCCAGATGAGCCAACTACTCTTACACATCCTTCTATGGATGCAATGATTGCCAGCCACCTCGGCGTCGCGGGTGTTTCCGACTTCGTTCACATCGTTACCCGCATACTCCGAGTGGTGGACCCTCACCCAAGCCATCCTGCACGAGCAATATCCGTGGCTCAAACAGCAACATCCACTATCGGACGTGCTAGTCGCCATTCCCCCACCCGATCCCCAAGTGTTTGTGCAAATGACCAAGCCGTCCTCATGACCCCCGCCATCGGTGCGATGCTCCAAGAAAGCTTCGCTCCGTTAAAGTTGGCTGAGGCAACAGATCAGCAGATCGACCACGACATCGGCAGCTTGGCGGCGTTGTTTGCCGACGACGCATGCCCCTCCCTCCATTCAAGACGTGCCACCGACCTTTCAACGACGGAGCAGCAACACCCTCAGCCAACGCTTGGACGACTTGGCACTACCCCGTCAACACCCATCCCCAACGACGAGATCATGATCGTCCTGCATGAAGACTTTACCCGGCAACAACAAGATCTATCTACTATCTACTCTCTATTCTATCACATCTCCTGGTAGTACAGTAGTAGTAGTGGCTCTTAATGCAAACACTGAGTCACCGCTGTAACCACATCAGCCACAGTCGCCGTTGGACGCAACTTGCCTTGCCCGCAACTCTTACTCCCCCCCCCGTGGCCCACCCCTTGCATGAGTTGCTTTAGCGCCTAAGCAGCATCTTTCTTAGCCCCACACCAGTTTAATATTGGAAGTCCACACAGGAAATACCTCTCCAGCATTCACGTGGCCATTGCCCATACAAATGACACTGTCGCCCATCACAACCAGATGCACTGCCGCCGAGTCGAGTTTGGCCACATGTTCAGCTCGTCGACGCAGCGCTGTCATGTACAAGTTGACCAATGGCTTGTCGGCTGTCGGTGGTAGGGACAGATCGGCAATCTCGTGCAAGTGCAAAGTGACGACAGTGCCACTCAAAGCCCAAGTTCCCTCGACGGTCTTGGACGGACGAGGCACGGGGCCGTACACAAAGCGGTCGGTCAGCGATTGGTTGAAACCCTCCAACGCTTTTTGCTGGGCGTCGAGGCGCGCCAGCTTTTGGGTCACCATGGCAGGCACCGTGTTGAGCTGCCCTGCAATGTCTTCGAGCAGTTGGTTCTTTTCTTGCAATCGCTTGATACCTTCCAGGCCTGCCACGGCCTAAGCAATATCTCGTGATGCTTCGTCGGACGGTATATTGCTTTAGGGGAATATATATATATATATATTCACGCACTTCAATACGACGAGTGCCCGCAGCTACCGACGCTTCACTGAGAATCACAAACGGCACCAGGGCCGACGTCGACGACACGTGGGTCCCCCCACAGAATTCACTCGACACGGACCCCACCTGGACCACCCGGACGAGGTCCCCATATTTTTCACCAAACGTGGCGATGGCGCCACTGGCCTAAACTCGTCCAATCTTTGCATGAGTATATATATATGCGTATAGCTTTGGGTCCGTACCTGTGCCGTGGCCTTGTCCATTTCGTCCGCGTGCACACTGACGTTGTCCAACGCGACTTGGTTGACGCGGACTTCCACTGCGCGCAACTCTTCGTCTGTAACCGCGCCAAAGTGCGCAAAGTCAAAGCGAAGGCGATCGGGTCCGACGTACGACCCGCACTGGGTCACGTGGGCGCCTAGCGTTTCTCGAAGTGCGGCTTGGAGCACATGGGTCGCCGAGTGGTGCGCGGCTACCCGCAGCCGGACCTGCGCATCGACCGTTGCGGTGACCGTGGGCTGGGCCGTCAGATGGGCAATCGCATCGTCGACTGTGGTCGGGGCTTGGACATGCGCATGGATCGTTTCTGGCCCTGCCCGAACCGTGTTGACTACTGGCCATGGGGCATCGAACCCCGTCACAGATACCCACCCCCGGTCCCCCACTTGGCCACCCCCTTCGGCGTAGAACGGGCACGGCGATAGCGCCAGCGCCACGACGGCTGGATGTTTACTCGATGCCTTGGATTGATGCTTCACTCGAGACGCTTGCAAGACGGTCGCGTTGTGTACGACTGTCGTGTCGTAGCCGACAAACGGGGTCGGAACGAGCACATGGTGGTGGGTCTGGTCGTCGTCGTCGTCGTTGGAAGTCGATAGACCGAGTGGGGAGCTGGCGGCGGCGATGGCTTCTTGGTGACGTTGGCGGACAGCGTCAAATCCTGCCGTGTCGACCGTCGCCTGAAACGACGCGGCGATGGATTCCGTCATATCGATGGAAAGCCCGTAGGTTTCATACAGGAAGAACGCGTCGTGGCCAGTGAGATAACTTTTCGTGTGGGGGTGGTGGAGCAGTTTGTCGACGGCCTTGGTGCCTTGAGCTAGCATGGCATAAAATGCTCTCTCTTCGTTGTCCACGACCGCTTGGAGCTGGACAACACCTTTTCTCTCCCCTTCACCAAACATCGGAATCCGAGACAAGAATGGCTGGGGCACCCCCGCCTGCTGGGCGAATCGCATGGCGCGGCGAAGGATGCGCCGCAGCACGTACCCGCGTCCAACGTTGGACGGAAACACGCCATCCTCCATGAGCGCGTACGCCGTGCGCAAGTGGTCGGCCAACACACGCACGATTTGAATGTCCACGTCAGTTCCAAATCGATTCAACCGCAATTCATCGGCCACCGCGTCTTGAAACCTGTGCAATATGTCAACACATGAAGAGAAATTTTTGATCAAACATAAAAAGTTAATTCGTTTTCATCGAATATATATATATATATTATAATGATGTATGAACAAATAAGAGTCTACCATAATACAAATTACGGGTTACATTTGCAAGGAGGAGGAGATGATGGTACAGTCAGATGATTGCGACCACACAAATTAGACACATCCGATCAGATCGTCGCCGTTCGTGGGCTATGAATCAATCAATACCACCGCGATTGCGTTTGAAAAACATAACGATAACGTGGGCAACCAGGGGGTGGGTACCTGGAGGAGGCGCGTCCATTTTGCAAGTCCAATGCCGCGGCCACGGCATGCAAATGCGGGGTAAACACATCCGAGTGGTAGTTGGAGATGACGCCTTGCATCACCGACGCCATGCGCTCGAGCCCCATACCAGTGTCAACGCACGGCGTCGGAAGCGGCAGCAACGAGCCATCGCCCAGCCGATTTTGCTGCATAAACACGAGGTTCCACAGCTCCAAGTACCTTTAACGGAGACATCGCATGAGTGTGGTCGATGACGTGCGAAATGCGAAGCGACTACTCACCGGTCGTCGTAGTTGGAGAACGCCTCGCCCTGGTCGAAAAAGATCTCGGAGCAGGGCCCGCAAGGCCCAGTGTCCCCCATGGCCCAGAAATTGTCGTCGGAGCCGAGGCGGTGGATCTTGTCGTCGGGCAACTGGGCAATCTTCCGCCACCTATGACCATCTTATGACGATTGTCGGGAGGCACTACTGTATGTATACCAACCATTCAATGGCTTCGACGTCGTTGTCCAGCACGGTCACGTGCAGTCGATCGATGGGAAGGTCGAATTCTTTGGTCAGCACGTTCCATGCGTGGAAGATCGCTTCCTCCTTGAAGTAGTCGCCAAAGGAAAAGTTGCCCAGCATGTCGAACGACGTGTGGTGCCGAGCGGTGAACCCTACTTGGTCGAGGTCGTTGTGCTTGCCACCGGCACGGACACATCGTTGCGAGGACGTTGCACGGGTGTAGTCGCGGGTCTCGTGGCCGAGAAACACCTGCACAGTAGCGACCATGAGACGATTGTGTGTGGAGATGATGGGAATGCCCGACTTGTTTGAACTGGACCATGCCCGCATTTGTAAACAGAAGCGTCGGGTCGGAGGATGGAACCAACGAGCTGCTCGGGACCAACGTGTGTCCATGTTGCTCAAAGTAGCGGAGAAAGGACTTCCGAATGGACGCCGCCGCGCGATGCTGCATGCTGTCTGTCGGTGGCTCCAATTATGCACCTTTTTCAGTGAGTGGACACCGGATAATTGTCCCTTCCGGATAAGTGAGTTTGAACAAAATGACAATCAAACTCGAACCACCAGACGAGATTCCCCCCCATGACTTCATCACGAATAACGTTAACTAACGTGGATGTGCTTCAAGAATCGATGTACAGGCCAACATCGCATTGAGCAAGGATGCTAACCATGTGAAAATCGCAATGAGTAAGTAAGTACTGTAGGTGCGCGCCACTGCAATTGCTGTTTGGTTCGAGTGTGTGTTGATTTGTGATGATCTTCGATACTGTCGAGGCTCGCAAAGTTGATTATTTCTCTTCGTAGTTTCCTAGAGTGTGGTTACATCACCTAACGTTAGGAGTTTCATGTGCATGTAGCCAAATCGAATTGGATTGAAATGTCTATCGATTGCTGTGAACGATGCAGAATCTGCGAGTGAATCACCGAGACAATCCATGTCGCCAATGACAACTGACTGTACTTGGTATGGATTAACAGTGTAATAACTAACATATACAATTGGATTGTCGGGTGTGGTTGTAGGATAACTACAGTAGCTTGCCCTTTGGAGCTCTGAAACCGATTCTGAAACGGCTCGACAGTCCATTTACTTGCATAAACGAATACAGTACGACAATTAATACGAGGCACATCTACTCTCCAAAACCAAATGTCGCTCCTCCTCAGTTCACACTTTTGCCAGTCCAACATAGGAAATGCTGCATCGCGGGCTTCGGCTTGGAATAACAGGAGGTTACAACTCGTGGAAGGCATCTGGCGTTGTTCAGCGATGGCAGTCGTCCGTGTCGTCAGTGCGACTAGCAAATGGCCACGCCGTGCAGTACTTTCAGTCGCAGCCAGCCCAGCCATCGGCAGCCCCGACCTTGGTCCTTTTCCATGGGCTGGCGTCGTCCCACCACTGCTTCAAGCACATGTGGCCGCATTTAGAGGCCAAGTACCCGATTATGGCGTTTGACTTACCCGGAACTGCCGGCTCGGATGTAGCAGCTGCAGGTGCGTGTGACGTTCGTCGAGCACTCTGACACGACGTCGCTGTAGGACCAACCTACACGGCAGACTCTGTGCATCAAGCGCTGGTCGAGGCCATCACGAGTGCGATCCCAACGAACCACCCCGTTGTGTTTGTCGGCCATTCACTTGGCGGCCACTCTGCCCTTCGGTTAGCCAGCGACTTTCTCAAAGCACGTCGACCAGTGCACGGACTAGTCCTGCTGGCATCCGCGGGCCTGGAGCCTTATGTCGTGATGCGCGGACTCGACCTGTTACCAGTCTCGCTAGTGGCGAAATACCCCCGTGCGGTCATGCGATTCTTCCACTTGATGGGGTTTGCCGACACACATCCAGCAGAAGAGTACTCGTATGGCGCGCTGCGGGCCATAACTACCCCCTACGCCCAGCTTCGAGTCGCCGCCTCGGCGATTTCCAAGGCCAACGTACCGACCTTGTGTGTGTCGGCCCAAGACGATCCGTTCTTGACCGACGCAGTTTGGACAGACATGTTTGTGACATTGCGAGCAAACGTGGTACGCTACCCCAATGGCGCGCACAACATCCCAAAGTCCAAAGCAACGCAAGTGGCTCGTGATATAGACACGTGGATCTGCGACAACGCGCTCGCCGCTCGTCCGGCCGAGAGATCTTCTGCTGACGTCGATTGCCATCGTCATGAGCGTATTCAAAGCATGCGCCACGACGACGTGGCCATCTCACTCAAGACGTAAACGCCATCTGACTTGGGAGTGGAAATAGTAGTATACCCAAGCTGATGCCGCGAAAGTAATAGTACCATAATTGCCAGTATTGAATGATTGCATGTGATGAATCAATCCTCGTGCGTGAGAAGTTTATTTCGAGGGATTGCTACTGGTCCGGTACGAGTTGGTGGCTGCGATACAGTAACCCCAGCGAATCGTCGTACCATCTTTGACACGTTGTTTCCACCGCAACGAGCTTTGAATCGATCTAGTGCTTCACAATGCAGGTACTATAACGTCTACTCAGTACAATGTACAGTATCACAAACTACAGCATCTCGAGTTTTAACTACCACTCGAGACCTTTCCACTCTGTCGCATGTTGGACTTGAGGATGTAAATAACTTCCGGCGCCGCCGGTCGATCCAATGGTTCAGCTGCCATGCATCGACCCGCCAACGATTGAAACCACTGGGGGCAGCCGTTGGCACACGTCGGCCGCAGGTGGTTGTGAATCACGTGGCAGGCAAGTGCCTCGTCTTCCAGGACACGCCCTTGGGCGTCTCGAGCATTCGCAAACGGGAGTTCATGGGTGCTCAGCTCTGTCAAGACGACCCCCAGTGAATAAATATCCACGGCGCTCGTGTACGCCTTGAACACGAGCATCTCCGGCGCCATCCACCGGAACGTTCCGACGGCTGCTGTCATGGTCGCGCCTACGACGATCTCCTTGGACGAGCCAAAGTCGCCCAGCTTGGTGCCTTTAGCCGCGTCGAGGAGAATGTTGCGGCTCTTAAGGTCGCGGTGAATCATGTCCTGCGAATGGAGGTAGAACAGCGCCTCGGCAGTCCCGAGCGCGCACTCGAGTTTGCTCGGCCAGCCAAACGTGTCGCTTGTGGTTCTAGCGAGAAATTGGCGCAAGTCGCCCAAGTTCATGTACTCGAGCACGGCCTGCAAGTTGGTCGGGTGTGTCCACGTCGCGCCGACGAGGTGTACAATGTACGGACTCGACAACGACCGCATAAATGCAATCTCGTCGAGCAGCCGCTGGACGTCCGATGCACGAGGGGTACAGGACAAGAACGTTTTGACAACCACAGGGGTCTGCTGCAGCGTCGCGAGCCAAATCGACCCTGTCGCACCAGTCGCCAAGCGCTGGGTCAGCGCGAACGGCGCCATGTTCATGCGGATCAAATCCACGTCGCCCCACTTCAGCGAATGGAACTCGGTGGCCGTTGCATTCGTCGTACTACTGGTTGAAGTTATCGCCTTGGCCAACGAACTGCGTGGGTTGCGGCGCCGGGCCACAACGACAAGAACGACCACGACGACAGCAACACCACCAACGGCGCCGAGCACGATTTGAGCCGACGGATTGCCATTCTGAGACAACGTTGCAAGAAACACTGGGGGGGGAGGGGGGGGGGACGACACGTCTGGACTGGATGTAGGGGCATCGCCATTCGTTTTGCTTAAGGGCGACGGAAACATGGTGGTGTTGAACGAGGAGGTGGTTGATGCATTCACACGCAAGGTCACAGACACTTGAGGGGAAATCGTCGTCATCATCGTCGTCGTCGTGGGGGAAGGGTTCGTGGAACGAGTCGACGCGTCGTTACCAGTGGGGTCTTCAATTGGGGCGTAGTCGATAGAAAAGTCAGGGGCAGTGGAGCTTGGCGCTATGGGGGTAATACTGACCACCGGAGCGGAAGAGGTGGAGGTGGCGACGGTGGAGGAGGCGACAGACGCAGTCTTGGGGGCGGACGTGGTCGTTGGGGGGTTGTCGACCCACGAAGCGTCCTTGACGCGGACGGACCGAAGGGTAAACTTGACGGATGCGACGTCGACGGTCGACGCAGTCCACCTCACCATCTGGCCTTGGAAGTTGGACTCGTCGTAGCCAAACACGGCCAATCCGGTAGGAATCGTGAGCGTGGTGACGTATCCGTCCCAGGGGTACATGAACATCGCCACGCTTTCGTCTTGAGCTAAAAACGTTGGCGTGACACTTGCCCACGATGTAAAGCACCCGACAAACGCCGACGTGTGCAAGTCGGGCCACGGCAAATTGGTTTTCGGTCGTGTTTTGATGGATCTGTACAGCCCTTTGAGAAATTGAAATGACGTTTTCGACACAATGGTTGGGTTGCCTTGGAAATTGTACTCTGGAAAGAATGCGGCCTCGATGCCGTCCTTGATGCGGGGGTTCATCTCGTTCGCGTCTTGGTAGGTCGCCCAGTCGTCGATTCCTGGCACGTCTTCGCCGTATTTGTACACCCCCGCTATGAACTTGGTCACCCCCACATCAAAGTACAAAGCCGGGTCGGGGCGCTGGGGGGCCGTCACATTTGGAATCGTCGGATCGCCACGGACCACCACCCGGATAGACCGCAGCCGGAAGGACATTTCGGCCGTCAGGGTCGCGCTTTCCGACCAGACTGTCGCGGGACCGAGGAACCATTGGCGCTCGTACCCGACGGCCACGAGCCCAGGGGGCACGACAAGGAGCGTGCACGAGCGATAGGGGAGCAGGGGGTACTCGCCCACTCGGTACACGCCTTGCAGTTCAATGACTTGGGCGTTGAACGTGTAGATGGAGCAGCGTACTTCGGGGGCTGGTGACGCCGGCGTGTCCACAAACAAGTCCCGAGTAAACACCTGAAACGACCTGAAGCTATACCGACTTGTGGGGTACGTAAAGTCAGAATTCGAGGTCCGATACACTCGGCTTGTGCCTTGGTAAAACCCAAACTCGTACGTGACAAACACCAGATGCGGCGGAATTAGAAACGATCCAATCGACGGAATGAAGTCGAGGGTGAAGAGCAGTTGAGGTACGGCGTTGCCAGCTTTGAGGAGAACTTGCTTGCCTTGAAAGTTGGGGCTAGTGTAGAGCACCAAGTCGTCGCCAGCAGAGGGGATGCTCGTCGTGTTGCGAACTGCCACTTGAAACTTCACCAGCTTCGCTAGCCCTGTATTTGCCAGATAATATTGGTCTTCGTAGTAGACGAAAGGAACGTCGTTTGTGGTGTCAAACATGGACACGGCGACGCCCGCTGGGATCCGCACCGACCGCACGCTGAACCACGGGAGCATCGCGTCTACAATGTCGCCCGGAGCTAGCTGAAAGAACGGCGGGTAGGCACCGTGGTAGCCGTAACTGGTAGTGTTGTAGCCGACGACGGTGACTGATGCAGGAGGCACAGGTGGCAGCGCAGATGCTTCCGTCACGGTGACAAGACGCCACGATTGAATGCCGTGGAAAATGTCTGCTACATCCGACGTGTATACGCGGTAGTGCTTGGACAGACTGGTCTGCGTGTACGAGCCAACCAGGGCCAGGCCAATGGGAACGGAGAACGACCGAACGATAAGGTAGCTACCCGTCGAGTTGCGAGCTGACACGAACGGTTGGTTGATCGAAACGGTGAAGTTGTCACCACGAAAGTCTGGTGCAAAGAAGAGCACCGCCGACGACGTGGTCGTTGGAACGTACGCTGAAAGGACTAGCGCCGTCGCCCAAACAACCATGGAAGGGAGCCAAGGCCACTGGCGGCGCATCCCACCCATAAGTCCGATAGTGACGACTTTTGCCATGTGAATTTGCTGCAGTACTGAAATGCAGGATCAGCTGGTGCTGCTAATTGTGGGATGTCTCACCAAACACATTTTGTCACCACAAGGTGAAATTTCAATTGACCCTACAAAAAATAAGAGGGATTCTCGTAAGTTAGGTAAATAGGTGAGGCATTTCTGTGCTGATTGAAATCTGAGGACACGCAGGTCGAACATGCGAGTTTTGCCTTCTTGCTCCATCACTGTCAGTAACAATAACGTTGACGATATTGTGATAAATGACAAACAACTTTGACGGAGGCAAAGTCGGTAATTTATGTTGAGCTTAAAGTTCACGCTACGTCAGTCTTATGAGTGAATCATAACTCCTCCCTCAGCATTACTACGTAGTATTACAGTAGCCTCTATACCCCTCCCCCACGGGGGGTTGATAACAATAAGTTAGAAAGGTGGAAGTAACCGCACTGATACTATATGATGAAGTCAAGGGGTGGTGGTGTGTTACGCTATCATTACCGATACCACTCTGACGAAAGGTGTCCTTCAATGCTTATGTGACAAGAATCCGATTCGCTAGGCTACTTTAATGATCCAAACTACGCACTATTCGAGTAAACAATTGTTCGAGGGTACACGACTTGACAATGAAATAAGTATATTTGTGTAGTTACAGTAGTATTGCGCCAAAACTCGAGCAACAGGAGCAATCAAATGCTGTAGCCTTAGTGCGCTACAATGCGCGCGACGACGACGTTTCCCCACAAATTCATCACGGTTGAAAACGGATCCATGAGGCATTCGATCATGATGAGAAAGCTGTACGAGTACGGCGTCGGGACGTTGCTCGTGTACGCAAACACGCACAATACGATCGTCACACCCCCCGTTCGGACGGGGGCGACCGCCATCGAGCCCACGAACGCCCCCACACAAATCAGCACCTGGCGCAGCGGCGTCAGCTCAGCATACAGTCCCGCGTTTCTGTACGTCCAAAACACTGCGAGCAAAATGTACATGGCCGCTCCATTTTTGTTGATGCCCGTGCCGATGGACGCAGCAAAGCGCGACATGTTGCGGTCGCCGCCTGTTCCGTCCATGAAGCGCAATGCCACCGGTAAACTCTTGCTAGAGGACGAGCAGGCGAAGGCATACGCGAGGGCGTCGCGAAGGACGTTAAAATACCGGTATGGGTTGGTGCGGGTGGTGGCAATGAGCAGGAGGGGGAGGACCACGAACATGTGGATCGTGCCGGCGAGGCCAAGGGTGAGGAGAAAGTAGCAGAGGCGGGGCACGTCCTGCTCAACCGAGTGCGTGCCGACAATCAGAGGTCCCGCAAACAGCGGAATCAGCGCCACGGGGGTCACAGTAATCACGTACGACATCATGATCTTCACAACCGAGTGCAGCTCGCGAAGGATGTCGATCATGTTGCCCGTGGTGCCGGTTTTGCTGGCATACCCAGCGCCCATCCCAAACACAATCGCAAACAAAACGAGACCCACGACGTTGTTGGTGAAGAAGATCTCAAACATGTTATCCGGCATGAGGTGGTGCACGGTATTTTTAATGTCGGCGCGCAGGGGACGGATCTTGTTGATGAAGTCCGTGCCCACTTTGCGCGTCGTGTACGCATTCGAATAGTCGTCCATGTACATTAGGCGGGCGTCGCGGTCTCCGACGTATGAACCGGTGTACATTGGGGGTTGGCACGACAGCTGCTGCGTCTGGTTGTCCATGAGGAGAATCGTCGTGCCATTTTGACCGGGGCACATGAGTTGCATCAACGGCGTCGTGGGGGTGCCCCAGTCGTAAATGTACGTCGATCCGTTGAACTTGTCGGCAAACACAGAACTCCACACCATGATTTGGATCAGAGCCAAGGTCGTCGTGAGGGCAGTGTACCCCAGCAGTTTCCACCGGATTTTGAACATGCGCTTGGACGTGACCATGTCGGCAATGCTGAGCGCGACGTTCAGGAACGCCAGTGGCAATGTGACACAGTTCAACGCGCGAAAGTACAACTTGCCCACGGTGTGTACGCTGTCGCCGACTCTGTACGGGTTCTCGAGGCCGTTGATCCATTTCGTGAACGAAGGGATGCTCGTGAGGCCATAGACGAGGGCGAACCCGACGGCGGATCCAGCAATGGTGCCCGGGGCTCCCAAGTACCAGCTGAGCCACTTGGAAGATTCGTCGGGCGAATGCGGCTTCGGGGCCGGCGGGACGTCGGCGGAATCGATGGGCGCGGGCAACTCGATCATCGGGATGCCGGTACTGCGGTGGTTGTTGGTTGACCCCTTGTCCGACGCGCTCACCTCAGAGTGCTTCATCTTTTTGAAAAATGAGGTGATCCATGTGCTTCAGGACTAGACCGAATATTCTGCATGTCCCCATGTTGGGTTCGAGTGGATATCACCACAGCCTGCACCTGGGTGCGGAAAAAGTAGATCCATGGGGATTCTATCGCCCTTAACGTTACTGTACCCCCGCACTCTCAACAAGCACGATACCGGTAGAAAGCTGAACGATACGGTATGTACTACCGGTAGTACGCCGTTGGTGAAGTTGCGGGTGTTAATATATACGGTAAGTGATGTTTTCGCGCCAACTTAGCGTTAAGATTAACCCAATGTGTGTGAAGAGAGGGCGGGTGAAGTCCCTGTTACAATGTTAGTATGGGTTATTGAGCTGAAGATCGGTCGACCAAGGTGAACATCTCCTCCTCCAAAATGGCCGATTTGGACTTCAAAACAAACAGTCAACCTCGATGTTTAGCAAACTAACGTTAGGGTATCGGGGTCCGCCGAAGTCCACATCAGAATTTTTGAGAAATTCGTCAATGTTATTGGTGGAAAAGCGTGATAATATCATGAATAATGTACTGTGATTAGTCAATCAAAAGCGTGCTAAATTGCAAACAGTCTAGAGATTGTACCACAGCTTTGTATACAACGTATGGACGACAACAAGACACTACGTAACGTTAGTACATATAGGCAACGCAGTGAGGCAGTCTTTCCGAGTTATTCCGTGTTGCGCCACGTAATCGCTCTTGTTCTACGCGCCATTTCTCAGTCATCTTTCCACGGCGCTGTGAGGTTCCTCTCCCAGTCGAAGTCCCCAGCCACTTGACTACAGAATGTGTGCAAACCTCTAACGTTACCATAGATTAACCATTTCTGGATAAAGCATTACGTTAGTCAATTTTGAGCTATTAACCCGCAAGGACGAGATTAAGAGTGGCCGACGATCCATTTGCCCACGACGACATCTAATTGGCTACTATTATAGTATTTTGTGCTGAAGTCGTAATCTCATTGGCTGAAATGAGAGTGGTACAACGGAGCATTTTATTCTTCTATTAATATACTGACGTTATGAAGTACTAGTAGTACTAAGGTTACGTAGTACTACTATACCATTACTTACAGTAGTACTATTAATAGTATGATTAGTACCAAAGGGGTACAGTATCATCATCTCATGTTACGGCGCAGAACGCTCTCCTGACTTTCATGGCAATCAATGGTCCAGATGCAGTGCAAGCGACTTTACACGCACAGACGATGCTTATCGGGGCGAAGTTCGTATTAGACACATCCCAAAGATGAACGGAGCTCAGTGGTGCAACATCTTGAGAGGTTTTGGAGTTGTACACCGGCAGTTCGACGCCGGGGGAACACTGTGTATAGCGCTAGACTGCAAAACTCAATGTGTTCTATACCCGTTGGATCAAATGACTAACATTACCAGGTAATCACATCCAAGCGCGCGAGTATGTATCCCCACCTAGTAGTGCTTGTGAAGGTCGTAGTACAGTAATTAATGTACAGTAATTAATGTATGCAGGAAAAGTAAATGTATATTTAGCGGGATCTAATTCCGGCAACTTAGTCACTGTTAGCACGATAATTGATGGCTGTCAGCGCCCGCTAAACATGTTACTGCATCAAATCCAATTTTGACAGCACACACGGGTGGACATATGCATTTTCAGTAACGTTATCGTTGACTTTTTCAGTACAGTAATACCTCGTACGAGTACTGTATCGTTACGTGTATGTAGTACCGTAGAAAGCATGTCAACCGAATGACACTTGCATAAGGTATTGTCGATTTGATACAAATTTGGGGAGGGGGTGCAATCAAATCGCGCCAACGAAACCGATCCACAATTGATCTGATTGGTTGAATTTCATTGAGAAGGTTTGATTGGTTAATAATTTTGAGCTCATCTGATGTAGCCAATCAAATCGATTTATGTTCGAACGAGAAACCACGCCACAACACGAAATTTCACTCGAAAGCACAATAAGTGTCAACCTACTTCTTACTGTAACGTTAATCTTGATAACAGTTTCAACGGTTCTGCTGAACCGAAACGCTACATTCTTGACAACCAATCGTCTGGAGCACTCTGTTTACATAACGTTACTAAGTAAATCGATTCGAAACTGGATCCCTCAGCAGAATCGAATGTCTTATGAGAATGGATTAAAGAGCCACCTAAGCCAATCAAATCACGTCCGGTCAAGTTTCTGCCAATCCAAACGTTTGACTTGGCATTGGCAAAACCATGTACGTACTGATATTTGTAAAGTATAGTTTGTACAAATCAAAGGAATTCGAATGCTATTTGGCGAAATGACTCGCGAGTCCAAATTTGGGTGAAATGAACTATATTATTGTGTGTTCTACTCAAAATTTCCTCCCGCGGTGAGTTGAATAAACATCCGAACAATCGCCGAAGCTTCCAAATTTGGAAGCATAAAACTAACAGTAAGTTAAAGAGCAGGGCTGGGGAAAAGTATATTTACTGTTAAATGGATTTTTTTTAGCTTGTCAATATTTCGAAGTATATAATTTCAATACTAGGATATTGTCGTTCGGAAGAACATTTCATAACTTTATTGAAATTCGAACAACCGAAAAATTCAATATTGCTGACTCGGAACAATTGTTGTCCATATTTTCGATAATTCTGACCTAAACGATGGTCAAAGTAACAAGCCAAGACCTTGGCGCGTAGCATGTCAGTTTGACACGATCAGGCGGTGGTGAATGGGCTCTCGGTTCGATTCCCGGGGTGCGCCAAGTTTTTCCTGAGAATGTAAATTTTTAAGATGAATATTTTCAAACAAATGGTAATTTATAAATTATTAATATTCGAACTCATCGAACTCGTCATGGTTACCCACATCGTCATCCCCCTCAACCACTTCGTCCGGACTTTTGTCGTCGACACGGTGGCGAAGAAGTCTCAGTGCGGAGAGTTCACGTGTTGGGTACGGTTTTGATAGCCAGTCACCTTCCTGATGGTGGATGTCGCGCACAGGCGACTCTTGAACGAGTTACGATGCGGTGCTTGTCAGTTTTGGGGTCGCGGGACGATGATTCGTCGATCTTTGCGAAGAAGTGTATGGCGAGTTCATTGGAAAGTACGAGGTCGCCATAGTAGTTGGGATTAGGGTGCTTTGAATCATAATGAGAAATCAAGAGATTGAATACAATTAAACAATTATTGGTCAATATGGTCCACCAATTTATTATTGGTGCTGGTGATCGAACGGTCGAAAATAAATGCTTGCATTCTGACAATTACGATATTTAAATTACAATTATTTTTCCAGCGCTGTTTAAGAGTGACTGCAATGCAACAATCAATCTTTTTAGCCAATCATATTGAAACCTTCATTCTTTGTAGCCAATCATACTCCTTTGCTCTTTTAGTTGGCAATTTCATCAATCCCCCAAAGTAGGTAGGCAAATTTTACTGAAAAGCACAATACTACAATATTAAACAACTAACGTTTCCTAAGTCTCAAAGCCATAGCATTTGATTCAAGTGTGTTTTTGCTTAGAGCGTAATTATCACTATTATTAATAGTAAAACTATTACTATCTGTACGGTGCTAGTCTTCGGGTTCAGTCGCCAGGATTTGTTTGGCCAACGGCGCCCACATTTGGGCATGAGACATGGGGTACCGCAGTGCGTAGCTGAGTCCGCGCAGCAGCAACGACACCCGCGACGCCATCACAAAGTCGTCTGCCTGGGACACGATCGGATCCCGCGCTTCGAGCGCTTCAATGAACAGCTGGATGTTCAGCCCGTCCGTGACTTGCTTGTCGTCTCGATCAAACGCCACGCGCATGTACTTCTCGAGCACGTCCCTGTCCATGTGTTTGGTTCTCAGCCCCAAGTCGACGGCACATGCGACAACGTCTTCCTTGGTGCCTTCCGCCAGCGCAACAAAGCACCTCGCGAGCTGATGTCGTTGGTGCTTTGTGATCTTTTTCACTTGACCGTAGTCGATCAGTCCGATGCGGCCGTCATCCAGCAACATGATGTTGCCGGGATGGGGGTCGCCGTTGAAGCATCCGTTCACGAGGATCTCATACCCGTGGACTTCAACGACAAGACGGAGGATTTCCGCCAAGTTGAGCAGCTTTCCCCCTTCGTCCACCGACGAGTTCGACGCACGGGGGTACAGCCAGCCCACCGAATAGTCGTATAGCACGTGCTTGGTTGCGGTCCACGTATCTCGCGCTTGGAGCAGCTTTTGGTACCGCCGCAGGTCTTCTTCCGACGGCCCTGTGCGGCGAGCCAGACCGGCGGCATCCCGTTCAGCGTCTTCCTTGTCTTGTTCTGCGCGCAAGGCGTCGACGGTTGTGTGGCGTTCGTTGGCAATCACTTCAAAGTGCTGGTGGATTCCGTCCAGTAAACTCTTGCCCTGTAGGTACTCCATGACCAGCAAGTCTTTGGTGCAGAGGTCGGGGTAAGGCCTGGGCACGACAAACGAGTGGCTATATGGACTCGCTTCGATGTTGGCGCGGACTTCCGACAGGTGGTCAGCCTCCTTGCGGTAGTCAAATTCGTTCATAAACTGCTTCTCGATCTCGTTCATCATGGGCAGATGGGCAGGTTGGGCCAACGCGCAAAACGATTTGATCGTACCAATGTCGTTGCGGAAGTGCTTTTCCGCTTCGGGGTACTGCACTTTGACCACCACTGTGGTCCCGTCTAGGAGAATCGCCTTGTGCACTTGACCAATGGATGCGGCACCCAGCGGCGTCGGATCGATCGACTGGAAGAGGGCACCAATAGGTTTGCCGGTCGACTGCTCGATGATGGCCACAACTTCGTCGATGGATTTCGCCGGCGCGTCACTTTGCAGTTGCTTGGCGCGGTCGAGGTATTGCTTGGGCACAAAGTCGTCCCGCGTGGACGACAACTGCGCGATTTTGATGTAAAACCCCTTGAGGTTCAAGATCACGTCAAAGATTTCGGGCGAGTACCGGTTGTGCAGGCGGTCGTAGTACTCGTCCTGGTCTGGATCTGCCAACTTCAAAATATCTTCCACGTAGAACTGCGTCACACGGTAGTCCACGTACGCTGGCAATACCTTGGCATAAAAGTACGCGGAGCGGGAAAACCCTTCGTCGGTCTGCATGCGGTAGTAGATGGCTCCCGCGGCAACGCCAGTCGCTGCCAACGCGCCCTTTCCAAGCACGCCCCACACAGTGCTGGATGGCTTAGGCTGAGCTGTAGCAGCGCTGGGTGTTGCACTGGCTAGCGTTCTCTTGAGTTGCTGTCTGTTTGCTGGCAACCGCACAGCCGCACGACGCAAAGAACTCAGCATGATCACGTGGCGTTCAATGTGAAAATGACCGTCACATGTGTGTGGGACTTCAAAGTGAGATCATCTTGGATTTTGTATGGGCAGATACCCTTGAAATTTAATGTATGATGTGGATTATATGTGCATATCAATGTAAAGAGGTTTTGATTAGCTCCACCGCGCGGACCACTAATCATCTGAAATGACTTAGTGAATGCAATGAACATGAAAAATGAATGCTGCGGCCTCGAGCCCAGTGTATCATCATACAGTCGTTCGCGGGCGGTCTCGTTGTTACTGTACAAGTAATTGCCCATGTACCGTATACATAGGCGCGTGTGGACAGTACCGGTAGTACCGTATTACTAGTACCTCGAGGTATTTGTGCGTACGATAACGTTATTGTACGCACAAATACCTCGAGGTACTAGTAATATGGTATTGCATTCTGGAGTCCACAAAATGGTGACGACATGACTGACACGCCTCGACGGGCAGCATATTTGCATGGTTTGATACAGAATTCCCCTGGTGAGATCAAGACGAAAGCGTTCCCTTCGACCACACTAGTACGAATGAATGCTATACACCGATAACGCAATATAATCCCCCCTGCGGTGAACTGGAACGTCAATTTTAATATGTTCTCTATCGTGTACTGTGGAACACCCCCATGCAATCATAACATGCGATTAGACTCATGACACCATTCCCCGGCCGATTATACACTAATGGGGGCACATATGACCGTAGGGTTGCAATAGAAGACATTCGCAGTCTGCATTTTTTGATTGCCTGATTGGCCATGTGAAGAGCACGAACACAATCAGAAGGGGGGCTTGGGGGGTCGCTATGAGATCGCACCCGCCAACATCCGCTTCTGGCGTTGGCAGACTATGCTACTTCAGCGACTTGATTGTCCAAAGTGGTGAGCCTTGGTCAAGTCCAAGTTGCCGTTATCAACACATTATTTGCCTGTTAGTTACAACCACAGTCGGTCAAGTCCAAGTTGCCGTTATCAACACATTATTTGCTCGACTGTGGTTGTAACTAACAGGCTAAATACTACATACAGAGACCCAAGTCCCCCGTATCTGTGAATCCGTATCGTCGTTTGAATTACACCGACACCTAAAAAGTCACAAGTTGAAGTCCGTTCGAAGTCCAGGAAGGATTCATAACTACAGTCCCACCGGTGCGACTGTAAACGCTATTATACAGTTCTATCCGGATTATTTACAGCATTGACAACCCCACCGGGCGACTGTAAAATACAGGAAACTGTAAAATTTTACCGCGAGACGCCAAATCGGCCAGATTTACAGTCGCGACTGTAAAATACAGTTTTGACGAATTAGCCAATAACATGCTATCAATGGATAATTTTGTCCAATCATGTGCGTTATGGAGTCAATAATCAGTTGGTTCAGAAATGGAATCAGCCAAGGCCGTCCGTGGTTCCAACTTCACGACTGACGAAGACTACCAGCTTGTCCGGTCATGGATCAACATCTCTCAAGATGTGTCCAAGGGTAGTACTCATCACGCATCACCACACCGTCCATGATTCGTTCAAACAGCGGTCTGGCCATTCGAAAATGATGGCGAAACTTGGCTTCGCCGTAGATTGGATTGGGGTCAAAGTAGTAGGTAAATCCGAGCATGCGCAGCCTCGCTATGTCGTGGTAGGTCTGGCTGGCGGTTGGCAATAGAGCCTTTAGGGCGCGCAGAAGACTGATGAAAGCCAAGAATCTCCCAAGCTTGATCCATGTCATCATCGTCGTCCTCCCACGCCATCGCGCCAGGCGTTCATTTCCGGATAATAACATTATTCGGATGTTTTACAGTTTTACCGCTGGGGTTGACAAAAATCAAAATACTGGAACTGTAAAACGGTATTATACAGTCTGATTATACAGTTGCACCGGTGGGGATGCCCTAAGGCCAATGCTAACCAGAAGTAGTGCACATGACAACTCAACCCGTCCCAATGAGTTAGCTGGTTCAATGTAGCGTTAACGTTGCGACGTCTTACACCTCAAATGCGATAGCAGCGCCGCGATTTCTAGCCAACACCAAGCACGTGAGTACAACTCGGTTGCAGTGAACGCAGTACCAGGAGGCTGCGACATCAACGTGAACTCCTTCGTGGCAATTCGACGTCAAAAGCGACATACTAGCACTACACAACCGCGAGAACCCGCGGCGCAAGAACCAAGAATATGTCCACGAACTCACGGAACTGTGGGTGGCGATGGCCACCTGAGCCTGCAGGTGGAACACAAATCAGCTCTGCCTTCGAGTGGCGACATTGCAGGAAGGCACAACCGCGACGAAAAACCACGAGGCGAACTTCAGCATAAAATCCAAAGGTTTCGATACGCGTTGCTTCAGTCGTCGGCGGTGTCGCGGCAGTGATGGCCAAGGCGATTGGCCAAACGTTATATCGTCGGCTAACCTTTGGTCGATTCGGGGAGCAGGAGGAGATGGTTATGACGCAAGGGCCGTGGCGCGATGCGCATCTTGTTTCAAGTCCACAATGGGCTACGAGAGTCCAGTCTCCAGTGGATCAATACCCCAATGATCCCCAAGATCTCTTGCATTTAAGCGTGGAGACAGACAAGGTGGTGTTCGAAACGCATGTTCGTTGCGACGGCAAACGGGTCCGCGTTAGCTACATGTATGAAACCGTGTGGAGCCACACGTCACTGCCCGCCGCACAGAGTTGGCGTGGTATAACTTGGTGGTCGATGCTCTTACTACAGGTGGTCGATGCCACCTCTTCCACGTGGATAGCCGAGGGGCATACCAGTACAGTAGATATCTTCACAACACAGCATTAATTGGAGGCCTTTCGGTGCACTGTTCGTACAATGGACGTCGACCTTTCGGCTACGTATGTTCGTCAAAGTTGCCTGCCAAACCAGTCGTGCAGAAGCAATGCCGGTACTCGCCCACGACGATGCTCTTCGCCGCCAAGAGTGTCACCCACGATGAGGTTCATCCGCACGCCGCCCTTGGGGAAATCAAAACGGGTGGCCAGGAATGGTACGAATGCTTTGGCTATTGTTCTGCTTACGGTTCTGAATGGGGGTGCTTGTGGACGAAGTGACCTTGAACACTTGCTTGGTGCGGCAGATCCTGTCGTTCTCACAGATGACACCCACGAGGTGCCGCTGGAAGCTCTTATGCCCAGGGCCTCAGCACATCCGTCATCGAATGAGCGCCCCACCATCGTATTCGACGATGATTTGGTCGCGTAGTTGTAGCGGCATATGTGGACCGAACGTATCTGCGCAATCAAACGTTGATTGAAGGTAAACTGTAGTTACTACGTACTAGTAGTAATTATGTAGTAGGTAGTACTCCGGAGTAGTACTTACTAGGAAATGGCATTGCCACACTACAGTACAGGTACCGGTACTCTCAGATTCGAAGAAGGGCACTCAATATGATGGATATTAGTTCATACAGGCTATGCAGAGATACGTATAGTCGCAACGGACTTCCATTACGGTAATCATGCACATTGAGCTTCGTCGGTTATTCTTGCCGAACATCTACTGGTCACATAACACTTCAAACAGGTCCAAGTGACGACTAGCGGCGTGATGGCTACGTTCGTTCCAGGAGTAGCTCCTGTATCAATGCTTGGGCAACGACATTACTCCATTATATGGCGTTGGTACTGTACTGCATGGTAGCTGGCATTGATCCCGTCATCGCATTGGGACAGTCGTGGCAATCACTTGTTCAAGTGTAACGCTTAGAGAATCTCAACGATCTCGATGGGGATTGGCTGTTCGATATAAATTTTGTCCAATCCGCGTGGGCATTGCCACCTCCATATTCGAATACTTCGAAGTACTGATAATTTCTACGAATTTAATTCAAAGGGACGTGGAAATGTATTTTTTGGCGTTGGAGCAGGCTGCACGTTCAAAGATCTTGCAATTTGTATACTTGCGGGAGAGATATCCACCTCGGAGAAATAAAATACACCGTAATTTTATTCGAAATTCGACGCCTCTGCCCATTGTGTCTGTTTTTGAGCGAGCAATAATATATGCAACGGAACTTGAAAGAACTGGTTGCGATGGACCTGCACGTTCACAAGGACGACGGCGGCGGCAACATGGAGAAGGAGGACAAGGATGCGGTGCTCCCGGCGTTCTTGAGTAAGACATACGAGATCTTCTCCACCCCCAGCTTCGCGTCAATCTGCGGATGGAACGCTACCGGGGACACGATCATCATCCACGACCCCGACGTCTTTGTCAAGCAGGTGCTGCCCCGTTTCTTCAAGCACCGCAACTTGCCGTCGTTCGTGCGGCAGCTCAACATGTATGGTTTCCACAAGAGCGTGTTGGACTCGAACAAGCGCGAATTCCGCCACAAGATGTTTCTACGCGACAAGCCCGAGATGTTGCGTTTGATCAAGCGCAAGGTGAACACGGCGCCGGCGTCGGCGGCGGCGCCCGCGGGGGCTGCCGCGATGGAGCTGAAGCGTGACGAGTTAAGCCACGAGATCTTGCACGAGATGCGCAGCCTCAAGATGAAGAACGAGTTGATGGAGAAACGTCTGCGCGACGTTGAAATCGACAACGCGATCGTGCGCAGCGACAATCTGAAGCTATGGAAGCAACTCGAAAGCGCCAAGGAAAAGCAAATGGTCATGCAGGAGAAGATGAAGAAGATCCTGTGGGTATTGTTCCAGATCTACCGCGGCAAGCACAACCAAGTGCCGACGCTGTCCACGGACAACAACGGCGCGACGATCCTCACGGAAGAGTACTGTACCCCTCCTACCCCTGTCTTCCACGTCATTGGTCCCGTTCTCATTATGTTCGTGTAGGTTGGTCTCTGGCTCGAGTCGGCTAGGGCCCAAGGAATTCCGTGACGTGCTTCGATTCCTGGCCATGGACGACCCGCCGCTTCTGCAAGCCGCGGCGGACGGATCAACATCCGCCGCCGACAAGCTCCAACTGCCGAAAAGTGCGATGAAAAAGCGAAAATTCGTCGAAGTGCCGACAATCAGTGCGCTGCCGGCACCCGGGACACCCGTGATGAACCATCTTCAAAGCCAGTTGCAGCATCACGCGTTCCCTTCGTCAGCCTCCATGAATAACTTGCACGATCATTTCTTTGAAATCGGTACGTCTAGGCGCGTGGCCGTGGCCGTGGATAACGAATTGTCTGCTTGATTTGTAGTGGAAACATCTCCACCGCGAATGCCTCAAGCGCAGAAAGCGATCAAACCGAAGAAACTACCCAAGACAAGCATGTTAGCCGAGCCCACTAAGGCTACACATGGGGGAAGCGCGTTGAGTATCTTTTCGCCACTCGGGACCATACCCTCCAATACCGCCGCCGCGATGCCGCCGCAAAAGATAATGTCGCCGCCACCGTCGCCGCTGTCGCTGGAGAAATCGCACAGCTTTGATGGCACCCATGATGGAAGCATCCTGCACACAGATCTCATCGACGACGACCTGCTCTTGCATGACGACTCGCTCAACTTTGGCGAAGTCGAGTCCGAGGTCGGCTTTCGTTTTCTTATTGTTGTGATACTGGACCAACAACGTGTATGTAGAACGTGATGCGGAAACTGGAGGATTTTGAGTCGTCCCTGCTGAATGAGTACGATGTCACGTGCCTGGACAGCTTGCTCAAGCAGATCCACCAGCAGCCGACACCCAACGACCACCCATCGTCGCCGCCCTCGACATCCACCTCCAAATTATTGTAGGCGCCGCCAAACCTGGTGCAAATAGATATATCTAAGTGACCCCTAATTAACCAAAACATGCAATTACAGCATGGCGTTATGCCTAGTACGGGTACTAGAGTACTATAAAGTACTGTATGTACCGGTAGAGTGTTACGGTAGTACAGTATAACCCCCCCCAAGCCCCGTCAGCTTGTATAAAGTAGAACGCACTCGGAAAGATACACATACAGTACAGTACTGTACTCACGCTTAAATCATGCGATAGCGCGTGAAACGAGGAATTTGGCGATGCCAACTCTCACGTTTAGGATGAACATCCTGAACGAGATATCGGTACTACGTAGTACTACTACGTACTACTAGTAGTACTGTAGTATCTATCGTCAAGGGAAAAAAGCACAAATTTGGCAAATCACTGAAGCCCATTCACCTCCTTCAACCACTTTTCACTTTTGGGGTAACATAATTCCCTGTATAATTCAATATAGACATCAGAGTTTTAGTTCAAGCATACATAGATCAAGTCTAAATCGAGTGTTGGTTCAAGTTGCCCCAGCTGTTTCAATCGAATCCCAAGGCAACCAATGAGAAGTCAGGAGTGGTGACTACCTCTGACGAACAAAGTAGCAGTGCATTTCATTCCGAGCCTCAAGTGTCATGTTGCGTCCGTCTTCCTTGGCATTGCTGGTGCTTGCCGCCACCGCCGCGAACCCGTCCAATGCGAATGCGTATCCTGCGTACTGCGCCAAGGACATGTCCGCCAACAAGATCCAGCCTCTCGAGCCATCGACGGCCCGCACCTTGCAGCTCGTCCAAGTGCAGGTGGTGGTGCGCCATGGAGCGCGCACGCCGTGGTCGGGCAAGAAATGCTGGGACGGCTACGACGAGGAATGGAACTGTAGCATCCGCGAACTCCAACGACCGGAAATCGTCGGCAACAAGACGTGGGCGGCGTCGCGCGAGTTCGAAAAAATTTACACCCGCGGCGACAACACGTTTCGCGGCACGTGCAACTTGGGCCAAATGATCGACGAAGGATACTCCCAGCAAGTGTCTAACGGCCAGTACGTGGCAACATGACGTTGCCGAAGACTGACTCGCCATCGCTTGAAACCATCGTAGGCACCTTCGCGAAGCGTACGTGGGCCCCCAAGGCTTGTTCAAGTCGACGGAGGGATTGAACTTTACCAACACCTCTGGTATCAACATATTCCGACAACCTCATAAGTTTAGCAGCTAGGTTCTTGACATGATGATGTAGATGTTTACTTTGAGAGCAGCGACATTCCCCGCACCATCAACTCGGGCATGGTACAGTTTACCAAATCTCCGGATGTTGTTGATTTCGTTATAATATATATGGCACTTCCCATATTGTCTTATTAGACCATTGCACTTTATACCCTTGTTTATGATATTTCCATATAACTTTGCCGTATTTTGTATCCGGTTTTGGGTTATGTTTCATTGTCGCTTGGTCATTTATAAGTTCCAACTCTTGCATGAGGGTAGATCATCATGGACACGCTGTTCACATCGACCAATGCATCGTCGTCTTCGATTGCGAGCCCCTCGAAGCCGCCGCCTGTGCCTTGGCACACCAACGACTACGCCCGCAACACCATCACCCCCAACCCCTCAATGTGCCCCAAGTTGAACTGGATCGACGCCCACTGGCGCCAGTCACCCGAGTACGTCCGTTGGACTCGAAGCGCGGCCAACACCAAGCTGGAGCAAGACATTCGGCGCGTGGTCACCAACTACGACCATGTGACGCTGTACGACTGCTTTATGACAGCCAAGTAAGTAGCACTCCCCGACTATGTACTATTCTCCGGGCTTGTTCACAATATTCTCACGCATGACCGAGTTCAAACGTCGCGCTCTTATGACAATGTAGGTGCACGGACCGCGCCCTTCCCGCGGGTATTGACGACGATCTGTTTGTCCGCTCGACGTCGCGGGAAGAGTCGGTGCAGATCCAGCAGTACCTGTACAACCACAGCGCGTACGCCCAAGCGGGCATGGCGGCGTACACCAAACGCCTCCGCGACCGCGCCGTGGCGGTGACCCTCGGCCGCGGCCCTCGCTTTGTCTTGTCCGCTGGTACGTCTGCATGTGGCTACATCGGCGGCGTTGAAAATACTCAATTTGGTTGGAATGGATATGGGATTCTTGCCAAGTCGAGTGTGGAGTAGGCAATCTGTATCGATTGTCAGCCAATGTGTAATACAAACGAATCGAAACCCACTCACCTGCTGGCTTCCTGCGATGCGTAGCTCACGACACAACCATCATGCCGCTCCTGGCCGCGTTGGGCGGCAGCGCCTGGCTCACCGAGTGGGTGCCGTACGCGAGTCACATGATATTCGAGGTGTACGCGAACGCGACGTCCCACTACGTGCGGGTGTTGTACCAAGGCCAGCCGCTGGCCATCCCTGGCTGTGCTACGGGTTCGTACAGTAGTTAGTATATTCATATCCTGTCATAGTTAACATATTTCGGGGCTAGAGGTGTGCCCTTTTGAAGCCCTGCTGGCGTTGACTGCGTTTTCGATTGACGAGTCGATTTGCGACGAGCCTTCGACGGCCGGGCAGCAGAAGCAGCAGCAACCCATTGCCACGCTCCCTGGTACCTACGACTTGGACTGGGGTATGTATATGGGTGGTGCACAACTGAAATTGGCCTTGTTGTATATAGCGCCGGAATCGGTTTCGTCGTCGGGGTGGACATACGCGTATGTGGTGGGCGGGGTGCTTGCCGGCACGGCGCTGGGGTATTTCGCAGGAGCGCGCTCGGCGGACCGTCAAGGGTACACTGCGCTGGGTGACAAGTCCTTAAGCTAAACCTTTGCTCAGTTGAGTGGATAGCTATAACTCGACTCCATCATTCGAACCAAGTAAATGTTTGGAGATGAACCGTGTTATTAACAAGGGTTACATGTTTCACTGGCGAAAACTGGACGGGCCAGTGTGCCTGTATTGACGGGATTCTGAGCGATTATGACGATAAAGCGCTGCTGGAACACGTAGTTATGCCGTGAATAAAATACACTGACGAGTGAACCTTACTCAATTGCTATGAGGCACCTACAGTACGTAGGTGGGCGTTGCCACTCTTGCAAACAACTTCCAGAGTATTCAGCCCGCTTAGGAGGGTTGCAAATTCTACAAAGTTGGTATATACGAATTTTTTGACACGACACAAGGAGCGAGTAACAAGTGCTAGTACTTAGCAAGGAACAAGTACCAAGTAGCTCCAGTAGTTCATTGGGTTAGATCTTGCCGCTTTCTAGTTAGCAAAGGTGTCATCAGCAGCAGCCTCGTAACGATGGTGACGGTGATGGTGATGGTGATGGCCCCACCCACCCCAATAACCACCGCCGCCTCCACCCCCCCAATAGCCCCCGCCCCAACGCCACTCCTTGGCGCTCTCGGCCGCTCGCAAATCCCCAATTGGTTCACCAGCTGTCGCTTGGTCACGTTGTTGCGCCGGGTCGACCGCCGCATTGGCCGTCGCCACGAGCATCAGAATCGCCACTGTCTTCATGGAACTTGAATTCAGAAATGAGGGATTCTAGCCAACACAACGCTTGAGATGGAAAAGTTCTGATCAACCACCTAACCATTCCAACTGATGGACTTCGACCAATTACAATACCCCCAACCGCCAGTAACATCAATCGTTTGTCGACTTGATGCCCGAGGACCGTCGTGAACAAAGTTGAGCCAACTGGTTCAACGACGGAATTCCGACGTCACACTACCTTTTGATGGCGATATGCAGACGATTGCTTGTTGTATCTGGGATGATGGCTGCGTCGGACGTGACGAACATTCTGGTGACCACTCAAGGGGTGGCGTTGGCACTTGCGCGAAGGGAATCCGACGCAAAAGAAGAAGTGGGGCCTATGGGGGCTTGAAGGAGGTTGTTGGGGGCGTGGCAGGTTGGGCTGGGGTGTGCGAGTTACTTGGATGGGGCCTAGTGGGTGTAGTGGCGGATGCCTCGAACGTGGTCTGCCTACAGTATTGTGGTCGTACTTGTGTGGCTGCTGTTGACCCATCATTCCTTGATTTAACTTGTGTAAGATCGTGTCTACACCTCATGGCTCCTCGCGGGAGGCATGTGTACATGTGTAATAAGCTCGTAGGAGATATCGACTGATATAACGTTAGATATAATTCATTAAACATGTCAAATGAAAGGCTCTCATTCGTTGCCGCCGTCGTCGCGATGGGAGGTGTACATGTGGTCGTAAACGAGCTGGGCAGTGTCAAATCCTGTGGCACACTCAAAGCACCAGTGTTGGCCACAAATGCAAGTGATGTGGTTGCACCCGCCCGCCTTTTCTGTATGAGCATGGCAGTTGGGGCACTCTTGCGACTCAACGAGAATGCACTCCAAGTCGACAGCAGCGTGGGCGTCCACACATTCGGCGCATCGAAAAGCAACTTCGTCCAGTGGGGGGTCGCGTGTGCAATCTCGTTTCATCATTTGTTTCACACGGTAGCAACCCAGACACCAGCCGTAGAACATGTTGGGTTCGATGACGGAGCGTGAGTCCATCTTCAGCGCACACGCGTCGCGGTTGTATTTGCGGAGGACGCCAAGGGTGGGGAATCCACGACAAAATGCACAGGCCAGCATTGCAGGCGACACCAGGTGACCAGGCTGGGCAGCGCCAAACCATTTTGTCAAGCACGGAGTGCACACCTTGGTCGGGCAGCGACCACACGCACTGGAAAGACATGGCAGCGAGAACTCTTCAAAGCACATGTTGCACACGTCGCGCAGGGCATCGGTTAGGACGATGGCTTTCAAGGATTCATAGATGGCACTCGATTGGAGAATCGCTTTGCCTTGGAAATGCATCGCCATGTGCAGCACCGTTACCGGATCGTTAGTCGGTGAAGTTGCAAGCAGCACCGCTTGTTTTTGCGTGAACAGCTTGAACATAGAATCGTAGGGCGTGTGAAACACCATCTCGACAAACACACTCTTGACTTTGTCGGTGGTCCATCCATGTACGACGGCGACGTGGGGGTTCGTCCGCATGAGCGCGTTGAATGGCACAGACGTCGTCGTCGTGGCGCGGACGGGAGCGTCGGTGCACACTGGACACAGCCAGCCGTTGGAGGGCGACCCATTGGCCCGATACAGTCCTGCAGGATCGATAAACTGGTTCAAGCAGCCACTACAAGAAATTTTCGGCGGCGGCGGAAGGGGGGAAATATTATTGGTGCGGCAAAACCAGCATTTCGCTGCGGTGCCGAGTTGGGCAACTTGCAACACGGCGTAAATGCCGTGGCAGTCGTGGCATGACACCATATGCGACTCGTTGCCGGGCACGACGGTGTTTGCCTGAAGGGTGGGCGCATCGTCGCCGTAGGTCACGCACATGGCACACAAAGTGGGCGAGACCATCAGGGACAAGCTCGTGTCGTAGCCGCATGTGTGACACCGCGCCTTTCGGTCGGGCCAGAGGCTATCCTTTTGCGGCGTGTAGCCCACTACCACGTCTACGTCCTTGGTAGCTGCCAGTCGCAGGCGGTGAACTACAAACAGTTGACGGTACACTTGCTGTTCAAAAGGCGTCAGGTACGCTTGTCCACGGTACAACAGTTGGACGAACTCGGCCGAGAAAATCTCTGGAAACTCTACCGCATAATCAAACGGCAGCCACGTGCCTTGAATCAACGTTAAGTACTCTGCGGCTCGGTCGTACAGGTGAATGTGGTTGGAAAGGCAGCACACCAACGCGACAAGGGCGGCGCCTCGCTGACTGAGCGTCGTACCAGGGAACATGAGATGCGGCAAGAATGAAAACAGGTATTCGTTCGAGAGGGACAGTGGGAGGTACATTAGGTCGTCGTCCTCCTTGTCGCTATACGCAGGAGGGGATTGGTGGTATTGCAGCCGCGCCAGTATGTTTTGCACGCCCTCCAACACCCCTGGTTGGGGGGCTCGAGCAAGCGACCGAATGCTCGCTTTGGACATGGACAAGTGCCCTATATCGAGTGTAAAGCACGGCCCCATAGGTGCCGCGTTTGCTATCGCGTCACGAATCCGCTGCGAATCGTTGTACGATTCCTCCAGCCATTGGCTCACTTGCACCTTGGCGCCCTCTGTCAACGTCGGAACACACTGCGACAGCTTTGCGGTGAGGTCGTCTAGGCGCGGGTCCAACCGTTGGCGACAGCACAGGCGCCACAATTTGCCAAAGATGGGGTTGTACGTGACAGCCAGCACGTTTTCCGGTCGAAAGATCACTTCAAACGTCTTCATGACCAGGTTGCGAAAGTCGGCGTCCCGCCCAAAGAGGGGCAACAGGCCGTTCAAGTCCTCCTTCATCCACTCCAACGGTGCAAATACAAACGTTTCGTTGGTTACCACGAGCGACGACGCGGGGGGGATGTCGGTCTCGTCTTGTGCAGAAAACGACTGGTCGAACGGTTCCCCCTTGTGCGTGAAGGCACTTCGAGCGAAGTTGGACCCGATCGTGACTTCAAACGTCTGGGCCATGAGCTGCAACAATAGCCCCATCGTCGCCTCCGTGATAATGGTGCTGGACAGTTGGGGCAAGATCACCGTCGGCCCCATGGCAGCATAAAACGAAGGCGACAGGTAGTCGCGGGTGGGCGAGTGGAAGGTATACACGGGAATGCCAAGGTCTTGGAGTGTTCGTTGGAGCTGAAACCAGTCGTGACCCCCACGGTACTTAGGGTTGTCCTGAATTGCCTCGATTTCTCTGCTTTGGTTGTTGGATCGCGTCGTTTGGTGGTGGGGCGGGGCATCCGTGTACAAGAACACCAAGGCACGCGAAGTTGCCGACACCGTTGCACGAATGTCGTCCACTGTCATGATGACATGGTTCAGCGCGGTTTTGACAGCTTCGGGGAAATCTCCTCCCCCCGTTGGCTTCAAGTCGTCGACAAATTTTACAATCGCGTCGTTTCGGCTAGTGCGTCGGCTGACGGTGGACAAGAGCCCGTTGCCATCGCAGTAATCCTTGTACGACACAATATGTACCATGAGACGACCATGGAACAGCAACTTGGCCACCAAAAACACTTGCCGCAAGGACGCTTTGAGGGCAGGGAGGTACGTTCCCATGGATCCGGTGGTGTCGCAGACTAAAAAAAGGTCGATTTCGTCCTTGTCACCGGCGAGGGTGATCCATGTTGGCTCTTGTTCCGCTTTTGGTTCCATGTTGCTGGGTGGCAAGTGTATTCAGTAATGATGACAATCTAGCTCCACCTGCAACGAGTCGCCAGCAGCCACCTTCACTCTTCTGAATCATTTGTAGAACGGTACCTTCACTCGCATGAACCTGTTCACCTGGAAATTTTCTGTGGTTGGTACGACAATAGTCCTTGCCTATACTTGCGGGTTGAGCGAGCTCGTATCCCTGTTGCGTACATTCGTTACCTGCAAACTGTATTCTATCATGTTTGCCATCAATTAGCGAATAGCAGAGGATGTAAGGGATACAAGGAGGAAGCCCTGTTCGCACGGAACTAAAATGAGGTCTTTATTGGGGGTGTAAACGCAATTGTACGATATCAAACTAGGAGGACCACGTTAGAGCTCCCGACGCAACAACCAAGGTCCCAGCCTAACCCGTCGTATTCCCAACCTCCTCCAAGCCCTCAACGCCCTATGTCACTCACTACAGGCTCCATGGTAATCCGTTTCTCAAAGGTACATCGGCCATTAAGATGATCATTCGTCAGGTGGGAGTGCTTTATTTCGTCTATGTCCGTCAGTATTATGTTTGATGCCCATTGTGGTTTTCAACGCCTGGTAGCGCGCCACATGTGGTTAACTTCATTCTGCAATTCAAGACCTATGAAGACGATGGCGATTGTGATGTTCGTGGCTATTGCGATGAACACTGCCGAGATCGACCCGACGCATCAACGCGAACAAGTGTCTTCTGCTGAACCACTTGATAGTTTGCCGAAGGTCGACGGCAAGGGGTGGCGTTGGCGAGGCGGCTATTGGGGTCATTGGGGCCACCATCATCACCATCACCATCGTTACGAGGCGGCTGAGGATGATACCTTGGCGAACTAGAGCGTACGCTGGTGCCTGATCAAGCTCTAAATTCTAATCCAGTTACCTTCAGGAGCTTGTTCAAGTACTTGTGCAAACTCGACCGTTTCGTGTGCACAACATATGCGGCACGCATTTAAAGAATTTACAGCATTAAGTATGCGTCCTGTCGGCAGAGCGTTCGACCTCAAAGAAAATTCAATATAACGTTATCAGTCCAAACTTTGAGTCAGCCGTAGAAGGTGTATTGCACAGCTTCAGTCATAACGGGTTTTCATCCCTACTCACCAAATGTGGAGTGTGTTACAGTATCAGCTGATGGAAATGGATGATCCATGACCATCCCTCCGATAACCTTTCATATGTTTCGATAGCAGGACTGTCCAACGGTTCGTCTACACAATGCCAATCTCAAAACCGAATTTGGCGTCAACGGTCAGTTCAGAAATTACCGTAAAGGCCGCAGTGCTTCCAACGGCATGAACTACTCACGTTGGGACCACATCGACGACAGCAGCAGCAGCGAGGACGACGACAACGAAGTTTCAATCGGGGCATGGATAAGGAGCACAAATCAAATGCAGTCGCGTCCAGCCCGGCGTCAAAACAGTTGGGGGGACCTTCTGGACAACGCCACGATCCGTCGCAAGCATATGGATTTGCTGCTTACGTTGCAAGACACACGGCTCCACGTGAAGACCGCTGGGTTTGATGCGGTGTCGTCTGGCTTTGTGTCTACCGCACCGGTCACATCCTTGGCGAAAGTGGACTCGATCACAACGTTGCGACATGGTGTAATCAATCGTGGCACTATCTTGTGGTGCAAGGTGGCGGCGCCTGTGATGCGGATTGTGGGCGTGCTAGTACTTGTTGACGATGGATCTGGCCAATTGTTTCAAATTGGCTTGTACAACTTTGTCGACAGCCAAGCGTCGACATTGGATTGCCAGCGCTTACTGCTGGAGGGGACACTGCTGGGGGTGAAGGAGCCCTACGTCAAGACATTTGCGAGTGGATTCATGGGCTTGAGGACTGATCATCCATCCAACATTGTGGTGAAGCGACCAAACGAGCAGATGCATGCAACCGTGCCCCCAACAGCAGCATCATCGATTGAAGGATTAAAAGCCCAAGGCAATGCGCACTTTCAAGCAGGTGATATCATAGCTGCCGAATCGTGTTACTCGGCAGCGTTAAAGCAAACCACCGAGGCAGCATCCCCTGACATGACTGTGGCATTACTGAACAACCGCGCCATGTGCTCGCTCAAACGCTGCGCGTTCGTCGAAGCACTAGAAGATGCCACCAAAGCTCTGTCCCTCGTGCCCACGAATGCGAAGAGTCTGTTTCGTCTGGCGTTGGCCCTCACCGGGTTGCGTCGACACGAAGAAAGTCATGCGATTTTGATGTTGCTGCCTCGGTCGAAAGACGTCATGACGTGGCGGGACGTGGTGGCTCGTCGGGTGGCTGAGAGCATCCATGGTCACTTTAAGCCCATCGACGTGATGGGCGGGACAATTGTTGAAGACTACATTGGTCCTGTGGAAGTAAAGATGACGCGAGGCAAGGGGCGTGGGTTGTTCTTGACACAACCTGTTCGCAGGGGCGACTTGTTGTTGGTTGAGAAGGCGTACGCGACGTCGCTGGCGATTTTGAACGAAAGAAGGAGGTGATGATCCCCACGATTGACTGGTCGACCATGCGTGGATACTCGCGAGAAAAGGAAAGCCTGGCGAAAGAATTGGATGTCGGCGACGAGCTCACGACAAAGTATGCGGCAGACCATAAACTCAAGATGTGGGGAATTGCTTCTCCATCTGCCTGACGTGGATATGCCGCACCGATAAATTTCGTAAGAATGAAATGTGTTTTGGTGGTTGCAACACTTAACGCGCCCATTTAGACATGTGACGTGATAAGGCACAGTACGCAAAGCAACCCCGGTAGCTGGCTGTAAGAGCGCGTAAATAATGTGAAGGCACGCCCTTTCACGAGTTGGCCCAACTTTGTTGACGAGGGACTATAGCCATCAAGAGGACGAATGATTGAAGGAACTGGCGGTTGATGCGTATAGATCTGTCATTGCCCATCACTTGTATGATGGATGCATTTGGTGGTTGGTCAGAACGGTTCCTTCTAATAAGAAAATGCTTTGTGTTTGCTTCATTCCTCAATTCAAGGCCCATGAAGACTGTGGTAATTCTGGTGTTTGTGGCTACTGCGGCGACGGCCATTGCGGCGGTAGACACGGTGCAACGTGACCAAGCGGCAGCTGCTGAACCTATTGGGGGTTTGCGAGCGGCCGAGAGCACCAAGGAGTGGCGTTGGGGTGGGGGCTATTGGGGCGGCGGCGGTGGTGGTGGTTATTGGGGTGGCTGGGGCCACCACCATCATCACCATCATCACCGTCGTTACGAGGCGGGGACTGAAGATGCCACTTTGGCGAACTAGAAAGACACTCTTGGCTTTTTAGCACTGCTTTCTAATCCTCTGAACTAACGGAAATTGTTCAACTTGTGCCTGCGAGCAGGCCTCGGAAAAATACTACTACTGTACTACCAGTATGGAATACTGAAGACGACCATAATGAAATCATACTGATGGAAACATGCATGCCTATATTTCCCTATTTGAAAACGATCCCTATATTCCTGAACTTAACTAAGGGTGCCTTGAAACTCGGGTTGCAAATTCGGATTGTTGAACAACCTGCACGTCCCAAAATCGCTGGTTTACATGAAGGAACAGCAGCATCTCCACATGGACAGGATATAAACGTTAGCGGTGGTCTATAAGGATCATTTTGACCGCGAAGAACAAGCGTTCAAAAATGACTTGTTTGTGGAATTCGTAAGGTGGCTGGCCTTACTTCTGATTATTAACCAACCAGAGTGCATCATGGTTACTTTGCCACATACTGTACTCCTACCGGTTCATCTAAAGACAACAGATCGGCCATCCTCAGGAGGAGACGTTTTACTATTAAACGCCTCGGTTCTTTCAGTTAAACCCACGAAATGTTGACGTTAAATCATTATTTGTTACGTTCTTTACCTGGTAATTAGGTTAAACATTGTGAATAATCCGGATACAATGAAAACGTTCGTACGGATAAGTTCTGTATACAAAGACCAAGATATACTTGATACTCCTTTTCGGCCAAAATGTACCTGGTTCCATACTATAGTATATCTCCGTACAAAAAGGCCGGTTGGTTTATATTCTATTACTCGATCAATTTTTCACCAATCGAAAATCTGAACCGTAACTTCTGTTGGGCTTGTCCAGTTCAATCGTTATTACGGTATATTTTCCTAAATAATATCAATACAAAGTTGGAATAGCTGTCGAAAGTCAAGGTATTTATTTGTAGTCTTTAGGTGACTTGCACCATAGTACTACCGTACGTATATTGGTCAAGACGATCATTTTTATCGACTTCAAAAATGCCAAGATCCCAGCGAAAAAAGTTCATCGCTCGAGTATACTCACTATCATTTTTCTTAGTATTTAGTCCTTGTTGTAAACTCTACCCGATGAAGTCGACATCGAATGACGAATGGTCGATGCGAATTTCTCGTTAGGAAGGACCAGAAGCCTCACTACCGACACAGTACTACAGTGTACTTCATGGTTTCAGTTGACTGGGGCCAACACCCAAGGTTCCAAGTCAAAATGAGGAAGTCATGGGTAGAACTACCGTCAGTAAGAATCATATTATCGAGGCATATCACTGATGGTTTGACCAAATCAAGTCATTTGCCCGCGATGTGCAGTTGTCCAGACATTAGGCATTGGGCAATAATTTCAACTGATAGTGTAAACATGCGTAACTGGGTTCTCGTCGTGGTCTACTGGTAGTCCACGTGGAATAGGAAATATAGGAAGTCGCTTTAGAAGTTCAACGAGTCAATTGCTGTAAACGACATATCTACAGTAACGTTACCAGTAGTTGACAAGCTTGGCCCATGTGATGACTTGGTTTATGCCAAGATGCAAAACTAGTAGGATATCTCCACTTTTTACACTAGTACAGTAATGCTGTTACGATGCGCTCCCAGACATGACGCCACACCCAATCGGTTGTTCAAATCATTTTAATCCGTTCCTAAATGAACTTCCACCAGAGCGCCCACAACGCCAAGAACAACGCCACTACCTATGCTGTGACAAGGCGAGGACCAAGTCGTACTGCATGACCATTGCCCAGGCTCAAGCGTGCGGGTATAAGCAAGGGGTCGCATTCTACTACTGTAGATCACAACCAAATAGCCGCTAGCAATGTTGAATTCGTAAGGCAGGCTGCCTTACCAAATTTCTGTCCAATTATATGATAGAAAAGTTAAAATAACTGGCCAATGGATCGTTCTATTCTCTTTGCTACTAGTTGCGTTTAAAGGAATTTAAATTATTCCATACAAAGATGAAGCTTCATTCAATAAAATTTGACTGATTTCAGATCGATTTATGGAATTCGTAAGGTGGCTTATCTTGCAAGCCTACTACTAGTACTATAGTAAAACCTAGAGTTTCACCTTACGAATTCTGTATTACTTCGAAGTATGTTCGACGTGGCCAAGATAAAGAGATAAAGAAACTTCAGAGAATGCCGATGATACCGGTCGGCGACGTTTTGAGGTCAGAATGGACTGGGCAAAGCTCCAGCCAACCTCGTCGCCAGGTGTCTGCAAATCACTCTAGGTGCATTGCAGCATGGCTACAGCATCGAATGGAGCGATTGCCACATGGTTGGGCACCAATGAGTATGGTTGCGCTGACCGCAACAACAACCATCCGTCCCTTTCCGGCATATCCAGTAGTTCGTTTTACTCTAATCCAATAGGACCATTGCTTTGGGGTGAAACGAACTACTGGATATGTCCACAAAGGACCAAATGGGCTGAGTCGCCTTTATCTTGCCTATTTGTGGTTTTGTGGATTGCCACTGAGCTGTTCGTTACAAGTATAGCCGAGCTGGGCTATAATCCAAGGCAATGAACCGTTGCTTAAGGTTAAAGCCATTTCCGACAATAATACCACAATTGAACAAATGTGCAGTACAGTTTGGTGTTCAACGCAACCTCCTCTGGCACGAGAGGGCCTACAATACAATCCACTATTGTGCGTTTGCTCAACTGGACGAAATACTTTTTCTCTATGGGACCCTTATTTTTTACTTACGAAGTACTTACAATTAGGGCAATATTCAGTCCTTGTACCAGTACTATTAATAGTACTTATTTTCCAGGGTCCTTTAAATATAAGGAAAAAAGGGGAAATATTTGTTTCCTTACACTTTTGGGTTTCCGAGGCCTGCTTGTGAGCGTAGGACACCACAGCGTGACGAAGCGACTCTGCAAATTGCTTGCCGTTGCTGGCGCTACGGTAGCGATGGCTTATGGAGCTGTCTATGGGGGTGCCGTCCCCACAACCATCTCGTTGTAATTGCTGAAGGTTTGGACGTCGGTACTTCCTCCAGCTTTGAAACGCGGTTTCGTTTTTGGCGGTTGCATCAAATGGACAACTCCTCATCCCGACAGAAAGTCAAGGATCTCATGTTCATTTTATACCTCTTAAGCTTTGGTATTGTATGAAACAATAATTCATTGAAATATATTTAACAGATATAATCCGGATCGTCCGTATAATTGTTCCCATGGTACACTTGATATTTGTATCCAATCGGGTTTCGCCGTACAACCCCATGGCAGGCAGATCCCATTCTGGAGAACCCGATACAAAGACCAAGACATTTGATCTCGTCATTAGTACAGTCGACGTCGTCGTCAGCGGCATTACACGATTTCCGCTCCGACGACCGATTAACATGGAGAGTCTTGCCGAACTCAATGGTGCGTCCTGCCGCGAGATACTATAAGGCGGCCTTGCGATGTGACAAGGGGATGGTTGCTCTGTAGGCTATCTGCTTAAGAAGAGTCGGCAGGGACGGTACCAGAAGCGGTGGTTTGAAGCGACGAGTCACTACCTGACATACTACAAGGTACGCTAGTTCTTCGACGTAGGTCAAGGGGGTGATGCTTCACGGTGTAGAATGCTGAAAGCGACAAGCTGCTCGCGTGCATTGACCTGTGGCGGAGCGGAAACATTCAACTGGGCGTTCCCGCTGGAACCACGACGACAGATACGTCCCCAGCGGATTTCTCCCTTCGCATCGGGGACCAGGATTATCTTCTTCGGGTACAACGCGACTTCCACCATCTCCACGACACCCTGCAGCCATTCTTAAAACTTTCTTCTTAGGCGGTAGACCACGATGAAGCCATTCGTTGGGTCGAGGTGTTTTTTCTTACATGTAGCGACAACTATTCATTCCGCCATCACGTAGGGATTGAAAGCTCGGCAAGTCAAGCAAGAAGGCGCCATCTCCGACTCGTACAGCCACCACGAAGAGTGCTACAACGACACATCCAGCGAAGTGTCGAGCGTGTACAACGACGACACCCGCGCCAGTCTAGGTCCCAACTCGCGTCCGACGTTCGCCGCGTTGGACCGAGAAGAGGCCGCCGCACAAGCACTCGTCGGCGCGTCCGTTCGCCACGCCCCTCCACCTCCGATCATTCCCCTGCAGACAAAGGCATCGGCGTCATTCCGATTGGCCGCGCCGCCGGTGGTTCCTGCCGCGGTACCGCCGCCGTCGCCTTACTTTTCCGCTCCCCCTCCTCAAGTCCACAAGACACACGACAACGATGACAAGGTCACTGTGTGTTGTGGCCGATGCCAATTCATGTAACAAGCGTGAAATGTCCATTTTATATATGCGTATACACGTTGAATTGCCTACATCAGCGGTGTTTGGTCGGTATGATGGGTCATGGCCAGATGCAGCTTCTTCTGCAGCATCTCGACCGATGCGTACGCGGGCACATACAGTCGCACGGGGGTCGTACGGTCTTCGTCGCTTGGCAGGTCCCGTTCAACATGCGGGTAGCCGTACTTTGTCATCATGTGGTCATTGCTATCTTCGCAAGAAGAAGGGGACATCGACGGGGGCTGCTGCATCATGGGCGGGCTTAGATGGATGTCGAGCCGCAGCATGGACATGTTGCCGCCATCATGGCCACTGAGGAACCGGCAGAAATGCCGCTGGTCGGCGGTAGAGTACCCGTGCACGAGCTTCCAGAACCCCGCGGCCGCGTCGGAGCATACTGCGGCGGCGGCGTGTTTTCCGCCGTACGTTGTACCCGCCTGTGCACACACACATACATATGCGACAAGGTTCATATTGATCGGAACTGAACTGGATGTACAGTTGCTAATTATTACCTCAAGGGCAAGCAAGTCCACAGATGGATACGTGAGCTGGGTTTGCAATTGAACGGCGGACAACAAGCTCAGGCAGGCCGCGGGTACGATCGCGGTTATGCCGCGTCGAATGGCAGCCAATGCTTCTTGATAGGGCAAGATCAAGGAGGCCAACACTGATTGCACGTACACCTCGCGCGTATCGAGACTGGCACAAGTGACACTGGTCAGTCATATATATAAATATATATATATACCTGACAATATCGGTAGCAGTATCCTCGACGGCACAGTATGGTATCTGGTGAATGTCAAAGTCTTCTTGGGTCCAGCTCGACATGGCCAGCGCCGTGTCCACCACACGTTTCGTTCGAGTGGTGGCTGAGACACCGTCAGCACCACCACCACCTTCTTGCCAGTCGGCCAACGTGATACATTCCCCCGTCAAGTACTTCCACACGATCGGACCAAACAGCCACGGCATGGAAACGTCACATCTCCACGCGATTCCCATGATGCGGCCGACGCCTTCAAACAGTGTCACATCTTTTTCCAGAGGATTCACCATCGTGGCCAGTTTTTGGGTGGGGTTCATGGGCGAAGAAGAGTAGGTGGCCACCGGGACGAACAGCGGCACCCGCGGCGACTGCACTTCCCGAGCCGCTTCTCGAAGCGCGTACAAGAACGACGCCGTGGGGTCCGGCATGTCTTCGCACACAACTCGGAACGCCCGGGGCTGGACACTGGTCGAGTAGACGCTCGTGGAGGGCGCCGTGAATTGCCGGCGGAGGTCTCTCGGGTCTGCGATCTGGTCGAAAAAAGTCGACAGTGTCACAGCAATGCTGGCAGCGGCGCGGTTGTGGTGGTCTTGTATTGGGTCACTTCGTGATGGGGGAGTATTCAAAGTTTCAAGAGATGGTCGTCGCAACCCTGTCTGATCGACTTGTTGCTCCCAGTACGGAATACACGGCCTACATGATATATATATATATATATATATACAGGACAATGAGGATGATTGGTATGATATAAAGAAGTAACGGTACTACTGTACATGGACGGCAACGTGAGTTTGCACTTGGGCAGGTCCACAGGGTCATTGTCGACATCGTCGTCCGTAGCGGCGGCTGGTGGCAACGTCAAAGTCGTACTTTTTTTGATCAAATCTCGGGCGAATTTCAACCCCACGATACACGAGTGGCGTCCAGCTCTCGGGATTCCATGAGCTCCAGACGAGGATGCAAGGTACGGTATGACGGCGTGCAAGAGTTGATTGGAGGCGTGGAACACACCCGTGCGGCAGAGGCAGTCCATCGCAGACATGCCATCCAGTGCATGCTTTTCCAGCGCGTGCACAATCTCCTTTGCTGTCAAGTGAAACATCGAGTCGACGCTAGTAACCAGCCACACAAGCAGTGTCATATATATCAATCTATCGTAATATATATATATACCGATGGAGCTGGGCGAGGCTGTGGAGACGGGCGATCAAGGCTTCATCCAGCGCTGGCGTCCACGACCGTTGGCGCACGGCAAAGTCGTCGTACGAAACGATGTCACAGATTGGTGTTTCTGCTTGTGCATCATGAGAATGATGAGTCCGATGGTGCCGCGTGATGGGAAACTCATGTTCTCGACTTTGCATGTCTCTGCACGTTTGAACATTCCAATGCGCGAGCACGTGGCCAGATGGCTGATTATGCGACTCCAACGCGTACCACAACAAGTGATGGGCCACACCCAAGACAGTGCACATGCCTTGGCAAAAACAAGTTGTAGCATGTATACAAAACTCAATCGACCTCTTACCTTTGGGCGTAAATACCACGTCGCAGGGCTGCAATCCAAAGGGGGCGCACGCGTTGTCGGTCACGTCCACTGCGACAGCGTTCCCATCGGCCCCCACCACGTACTTGAGCTGGCCGATTGTCCAGAGAACCCACGCGGAATACACGTCCAGGGGGGGCTCCTGGCGTGTCCACAGCGTTTGCAGGCGCTGGAAGGCTTCCACCTTGCGCATGATTGACGCGATGCCAGATTTGGCGCCCTTGGAGCCCGTCGTGGCCTCGTCGTGGGGTAGAAACGTCACTTGGTCGTCCTTGTTGTACATGGAAATGGCGGGGAAGTACCCCCCCTGGTCCTGGCTCGGCAGGTTGTCCACCCCCACACCGAACGACTCGCCATTACGCGCAAAGCTGAGGGTGCCGTGGTCCACGTCTAATGCGACGGTAATCACGTCGCCCTGCTTGAACATGTCGCCGTACGTTTGGAGCTTGCTCTTGTTGTGCCACACCGCCTTGTTGGCGAGGAACCCCCATCCCCTACAATCGTCGGGTTGATATCTATATATATATACAACATTCGATTTTCTGCCGAGGGATCTCGTTTCGAATCGATTTGACCATATATATATATATATATATAGAGAGAGAGAGATATTTATATGGTCAAAGATATATATATATTTATGGTCAAATATATATGGTCAAATATATATATATGGTCAAATCGATTCGAAACGAGAGCCCTCGGCAGAAAATCGAATGTCTCATGGATTCAAGAACCGCGCGTATACATATGCAAAAAAATCAAATCACGTCCAGCATGACGAATTATTGCTGCCCCATCATTCCAAACGTGTGATTTACTACTCATTATATATATATATATATAGTTTATAAGCTGAACGTAATTCAAATGTCTCCCATGTCCAAATGTGTAATATATATATATATATAGTGTACCATGCGTCGCTGCCAACGTAGTTTTCCATGGACGCGTCCGCGGTACAAATGCCCACAAATATATTTTTCGATACACATTTGTCGATGCGGACGTCCCACACGTGCACACCGCTCGTGTATGCGACACTGGCGCGCACGGCGTTCCATTTCTTATTGACGCGGTTCCGAACCGTCATGTTGTGGTGCACGAGCTCGAGGTTGGCGCCCATAGAGGACGCGTCGAGTTCCAAATGCGATTCGCAAAGTGTTTCAAACGTCACGGAACCAGTCGGTTCGGCTGTCGTGAGGATGGCGCGGACGCTGTACAGTGTGTCGGGCTCGAGGTCGGAAAACGTATACGACACCTATAACCAGCCCCGTGTGTTACTACTACCAACAAACAATACTAGTCATGGGACTAGTAGGTACTTACTTGGCCGGGCTGAACTGGAGGCTCCAGCACGTCGTTAAAAGGCGACAAACGTCCATGGACGAGAGATTGCGTGGCGAGTTGAAAGTGGCTCACACGTGTATCAAGTGTGACAGGGTACGAGATAGTTACGTTCGTGGTCGAAATGTATTCCACGACCAAATCTACTGGCGAGAATCACATTTATATAGAAAGAACGACTAATTATAGTTATATATTTTTTTACAATATATATATATATATATATATTGATTTAATAAATATTTATACAAGACGCAAACTCACCAGATAAAGGTGGAGACGGTGGTGAGGGTGGTGGTGATGCAATATTAGATATATCGGTCGCGGCAAGAAGGGTGTCGATGGTCACGACCAACTGAAACAAACTCTGCGACACAGTTGATTTTAATATATATATACATATATTCTGGATCAAGGGCTTACCTGGGTATAGTCCGAATAGACGACGCGCATAGGGCTTTCTTTCCGAACTCGTGCCGCGAGCCACTCGACAAAGTACTCGAAGCGAAGACACGGCACGCCTGACTCTCCCACCAACCCATCTTGCTGCAAGTACCACGTCATAACAGTGATAGCTCGATGCCGCAGTGTCGCATTGCAATTCGTCGCAGCTTTTACCAGTGTCGGCCACACATTCGACGCGCGAATCACCGCATTGGCCTCGGCGGCGTTGTCATTGTGAGCAAATGCAAACAACACTCGGGCTAGCCAACAGCTCCAGTCTAAATTCACTGGGGGGAATGGTGAAGATACCGATGTAGCTCGATCCCCTACGAATCGTACGTCAGTCGTAACCCATATGTTTTCATACAGTTGTGGGGGGCTGTCTACCTGGACGGAACGACGTGTACCAATAGTCCTTGTCACACGCCAAGGTAAAGTGCCGCAGCATCTCGTCGACCAGAATCGACACAAACCTTGCGTTCTTTGCACACATGGCGTGCAAGAGCCGTGTGTAGTTGGCACCAAGATGCGAATCCTTCATATCAACATCATCATCGGTACTTCTGCCGACGATGACAGATTGGACAAATGCGAGAAAAGGGCCGTGGGGGAAGGCGGCGGGGGATGGCGTCGTGCTGTGCACAAGCATTTGGTTCAGAGTGTCCTGAGCACACCATTTGCTTCGCGCTGTCTCGGCAATCAAGTACAGCGGAAGGATTTCTTCATCGCGGCACGTGTCGGCCAGTTCGAGGACAAACGTCGACGCCTTCTTATCGGTGGGATTGGCCTGTCGTGGAAATATCGTTAAAGTCGGTCAATAATACAGGTACTATATGGTGTTTAGATATTATCGTATATTACTAATATCAAGAAAAAGAGAAAAATTATAACATATCGGCATATGTCCAGCGTAGAATGATGTCGTACGTTGGGACTACTAGTCGGTGGTGGCAACCTCGGCGGTGAAAAGCACTCGACACTGTACGCATCCTATTCAATATACAAAACCACAGGTTAATATATATATAAATATATATATATATATACCTCGCACACTTCGTCGGCTAGAAATGGATTTGTGGATTCCATATCTTTATCGTCGATTGAAACGCACAGCAAAGATGTTGACGGGGGTGGTGGGTCCAAAGCAGGCGATTTTACTACGTCTGTGAACCCATCCAGTGTTTGCAAGTGCTGACTGGACGTGTCAAAGCCATGCAAAGACGGCGGCGGCGGACGAACCGCCTGGCCTTCTTGCTCCATTTGCTCCATGATCCATGCGATCGCGCCGCTTTCACTCAATTCCGTCGACGTTTCCCTCGCACATCGCAACGCCCTGCTCCCAGTTAGACAATCAAAGTAGAATATATATATCTGTTCATACCATTCAGGAGGAAACCCAAGCCCAATCAACCCGTCAATGAGGTCGGTTCGCCGAGCATCCTGTTCCTGCATACTGCTGCTGCTCGGGGGGGTAGTTTTGGGCGAAGTGGACGTGTTGTGCTCGCACATGTGGCCCAAGATTGCGCTCGACACGGGCTGAATCTTGTCCATAGCAGGCAAGTACAGGAATTGGCTCGCGGTGAAGTGGAACTGCACGCTTTGGTCCACGTTCAATGACATCGCGGGATATACCGGATGGTTGAGTCGCAAACCTAGGAAGAAGAATCAATAGCTTTAACTACATTTTGGCCAGGTAGGTAGGTAGGTAGGGACGCGTACCTTCAAACGCAATGCCGAGAGAGCGGCCGTTCAAAAAGTAGTGCATTTCACACCGATCAGTGTCCAGCAATACCCCCACGACGTCGCCACTTTGCCACTTTTCACCATAGTCCATTGCCCCTACGTTCCACTTTTTGCGCCGAAACCCTACCACCAATATGTATGGTTCACCACCTTTGACAGCAACGATATACATATATATATATATATATATGATGTGTATTATATATATATATGATTTGTATTATATATATACTACAAATCATACCATCAAACGCCCAACTGTTGGCGTGGTCCCCCACGCCCTGACCTTGCAGCGCGTCCGATTCAAAGCCAGAATCGATCCAGCCAATCTAGTTTTGGATGTGGATATTAACACTAGTAATACGCACTATTCCTATATATATATATAGGAATATATGCTTGACAAATCCAAACGATGTACCTACCTGCATGAGCCCATCGCTTAGCAGCACCACTTCGTAGTACCACATCCCAGACCCGGCTGTCACCGACACGCCTACGTACATATATTATTACTATATATGTTGTAAACTCGTCTAGTATTTGACCATATATATATATACAATCTTTGTACCGTTGAGTTTCACCGTGGGAAAGTGTAGCAGCCCCTTGACACAATACTCGTCCACTTCTACTTCGCCTCCCAACACATGCAAGCTCTGCGCCGCACTCACGACCCACCACGGCGTCACGTCGGCACCCCTCACATACGGCAGCCGCTCAAACAAGATCGTGGCCACCGTCTACTCTTGCTTTATTCACCAACCATATATATATATATATATGAACGGAAGCACCAACGTACGTCTAGAATCGCTCGTTTCTTTGTCACAGATTCGGTCATATTACTATTGTTGTCGTCTGCGATCCAGTCCACCAGGCCCTGGACGTTGTCCAGCTTGGACACAACGTCCAACTCGTTGCCAAACACGTCTTCTAGCGAACTCTGCACCGGTCGAACTGCCACGGCCAGCAATTCAGTCACCACCGACTCGTGGCTTAACATTGTGCCTACAAAGAATCATAATCACTCGAGGGTTTCTTCTTGGCTCGAAGTGTGTACGTGCTACGCAAGGGTGCAGTGTCTGCGCCATGGCTAGCCGCAACAGGCTGGCTCGAATGTGCATGTAGATAGCGATTTGAATGTCCTCGTCCATGTCTTGCATGAATGTAGTGCCGTGCCCGTCAATGCTCAGCGGATGCTGTAGTACCCACTCCAGCAACCCATGCATCGTGTCGCCCATCTTGACCTACGCAAAATGGTATTGATTAGCATACGATTTACGAATCATGTTCTATATACCGGGGGTGGGACTGTTGTCGGCGGCGGCGGCTTGCCAACCCCCCCCAAGACATAGATAGACAAGATCAACGGCACCACAAGGTCGTTCGGTTTTTTCGATGGGCTGCGGGGGGCGTCAGAGCGTCGTCGTCGGGGCACGAGGATGGTCTCGGGGGAATGCCCCGCAAACTTGCTTAGCAACTCGGGTGTCCATGTCGGCGACAAGAGCAACGCACGAAAGAGCGTCACGAACGAGTCCACCAAAGACGACCGGGCCGCTCGAAGCATGGACGATGACTTGGCCTTAAGCGGACCGTCCAGCCCCAACCATGTCACCACCCCCCCCCCATCTCTGTCGAATAGCCCTACAGAAACAAAAGTACACTTAACGGCGTTCATCTCTACGGATGACAACCCCAGTAGCTAAACTAATCAAACTAGTTAGTTACCTGCACGAAGAAGAGTGGAGATACAGCTGCTGTCCTTTCGACACGTGAGCAGGTCGTATAATTCTGGGGGGCCATACAAACCATTGGATTCACTGAACCAAGCGAGGCCGAATTGGCTGACTAACACTTCCACAACCGACGCCGACAAGGCGGGAATTGGTAGAGACGGGGAGATGGAAGGCAATATGCATGCCAGAAGTCGGAATATGTGGGGGTGGGCTGGCGGGGGGCACAGAGGCAGGAGGGCTAGCAGCAGAGGGATTTCCTCTGTCATACTTGGGGCTTTGACGGTAGCCAGCCATGCCAACAACGACAGCAGTGACGTGCAGTGCTGGTCCAAGAGCTGCCTCTGTTTGATCCGAAACAGGAGCGAGCCCGCGGCTGCAAGCGAGCCAATCTATCAAACATCATGTGAATGGATTAACCTTTTAGATGACACACCTGTTGGGGATTGAGGGGGGTGTAGTGAACTGTGACATCGTCCAGAAGAATGTGCGACGACGAATGATGTTCGGGTTGGTTCGCAGACTGGTCGCCACACAGGCCTCCCACTGTAAACGTGGGGTGCATCACTACATGATAGTGCTGCCCCACTTGGGCGGTATCCAATACCCCATTCAGATACAGCTCCGCCTTGTCGGGAAAGAAGTTGCATGCGACGTGGGTCCACCCCCTACGCTTTAACGCTCCAGTGGACACCACTTTGATCCTACACAAACATGTGACATCGTTTGTCCAGTCACAAAGCTCCTATGAAAAGCCTAGTATGTGCATACATTGAATCGTTCCAAGTCAATCCAATGTAACCGTGGTGTTCGAGCGTGACGAGCGGCGCGTCACCGTTGGCCACCAGCACCACAGGCACCGCGCCGATCTCGTCCACGTGTATCCACATGCAAACGGTCCAGCCCCTTGGGTCATGCGCTCGCTCTTCCTTGGGCGAAGTCGTCGTGAAGATGGCGGGGGCGCTCGACACGACATATGGGTCTGCGAGTAGCAGCACATGGCTAGCATTGACACAGCGCGTCAATTCCGTCGCGTGGTGGTTCCATCCAGTCAGGGCATCCTACTCGACACCCATGTCGCATATATTCACATATCCGTGTCACATATACATGGCCTGTACCTTGATCTTGGCGGCTTCCTGGAGCAATACGAGCACCATGTGGTCGAAGCTTTCTTCCATCGTCGACACGATCAACTTGGGGGGCAGGGTCAGACGTTTCCGCGGCGACGCACACACAACTGCCTTGGCTGACGAGGACGGCCGGAGGTCGCTCGACATAGCGCTGTCGTAGTCATTGGCCATAAACTGCTCGTTGGTCATAAACTGCTTACACAGCCATGAAAACACATGCCAGCACGCCTGGTGGACGTTGTGGCGTGATGTAGCCATGTACACGAGCTTCTCGACGGGGCGCAAGCGCGGCGCAAGGCACGACGACGATGGGACGCCGTGCGTGCTGCTGGAAATGGCATCGTCCAAGATGTCTAATGGGGGGCTGGCCGCCAACGCCACGTGGGCCGCTTCGTGCTGGAGCAGTTGCCCTACAATAGTATCCCCTCCTGTGAAAACACACACCCAAGATTGGGGTACCCAATGTATGCAAAATGCCAGTGTGGCGCAGTACGGATGGCGCGTCGTGAAAAGTGACACTCCAGAGATTCAGTGCTCGTTTCTTGAGCAGTAAACTGCTCTCGGGACTCGCCACGATTTTGGCGAGTCGAATGTACAGGTTCTCAAACGCTTTCGACAGTTTCGAGTGGTATGCGACACCGTATTGCGTGTGCATGTCTTGTTCAAGCACCTATATATGAACGACGTATTGTGGTCATTGTGGTGAGTATCCATCTCCTTACTTGAAGCGGGGTCAGCCCCACGTCGTCGACATCTGCGACAGCGTTTCGGTGGAATTCGACTTTGGGCTCTTGCCACGCATTCACGGTCAAAGTCAACCAGCCCCCCATGTCCCCCCCACACTCTACTGGCTCGATAAACGCTCTTAGCAATTCGCACTTGGCGGAACTGCTCGTCAATTTACACAGCGAGTCGTGTAGAATCGACAGCCCGATGATCTTGAGCGGAGTGCCTCGAGTAGTTGAGGGTCCCATATCAAAGTGTTGGCGCGAGAGGGCGGTGACGAGTTGCGGTAGGGAGACTGTGGCTGGCGTTGTTGGCTGAATCGTGCAAGTCGGGTGATGGCAACCGTTGACCGGGCTACACGATCAAATGAACCATCTCGTCAATGTGATGTACTACGCACGCATCGTTCCTACATGTTGGACTCTGGTTCGACGGTAAAGTTGCACTTGGATGGATAAAACTGCAAAAGCACTTTGCCTTGCATGCGCATGGTATCCGTCATGTCAACAGTACCAGCGCAATATGTTAGCACCCATTGCCACACATGCAGCAAAGCGGGCTGCGGCGGCGGGTGGTTGGCGCAACCGCGCCTCAATTCGACTGCCCCGATCGACGCAATGCATGCAAACACGGACGGAAGAAGCCCGCTGTGCCACACCACTATAGCCAGCACCACCACGTCCACCGTCGTGGCTACAACATGAACCACGTTAACCATCTAAATCTCCATGTACAGGGTATATATAGAACGCCCGCCAGAATCCTCGAATATATATATATATATATATATACCTGGAATTGGATGCACATGGCGCAACATGTACTGGTGGAAATCTTCAACTACGCCGCCGTGCCCCGCCACCCAATCAAGAATCGCCAAGTGGTCCACCAAAGTCACATCTGTGGGAACGGGCTCGGGGGGATGGGTTTCATACGAAACGTCATATACGTGGTTGGATTCCCACGTCCGAAGCAAGTCGTCGTGGGGGTCGGCGGCTTGGAGGAACGGGCCGTGTCGGCATACAAATTGAATGCTACAAGTATTGTCGATTTGATATACAAAATTTGGGGGGAGGGGTGCAATCGAATCGCGCCGACCAAACCGATCTGATTGGTTGAATTTCATTGAGAAATGGGTTTTGATTCGCTAATAATTTTGAACTCATCGGAAGTAGCCAATCAAATCGATTTAAATTCCAACGAGAAACACAATGAAATTGCACTCGAAAGCACAATATGAATTTTATATAAAAAAGATGATGGGTTTGGAGATGTAGTAATACTAGTATGCAAACTAGGGATTTTGTTTTACCAGGTGGGTACTGAAGCCATGGACGAGTCCAATTTAAACGACGACGGCGACGCTAGGAACATGCATATATATCGACCGACGAGGCGTGCACATGCGTTTTCCAGCTACAAATCGTGTATATATACACCGATTGACAACGATATACCATACAAAGCTGGTGGAATATATATATATATATATTTGTACCTCTGTGATCCATGCAATATCGATGGGCAAGGCTTGGTTGTTGGCTTTGGAATCTTCTGACATTTTGTACGTGATTTCGTCGACGAGTTTCAACATGGGCAACAGCAGCGGCAACAGCGTCTTGGCCAGCGCCATATTCGACCGCAACGGCGTCGTCACTTGGATGCATTCGATGGCGAGGGGGACTAGTACATGGAAGAACGACGGGCGGAGCTGGCTCACGTCGTTGCCTTTGAGCAGCCCCTTGTGCACCTTGCGAAGCAGACTCAGCCCTTCGCCAAGCAAACCCTCCAAGTACGACCCCAACACCCGATTTATGCAGCGAGTGCAATACATCGACGGGTTCCACGCTGCAAACACGTGCGACTGCAGTACCGCCACCAGTTTTAGCTGCAATTGCAACCGGGGCTACAAGAGTACATCTTGAGATGACAATTCTTACATGTAAACCCCACTCGTACGTCGGTGTTGTCAGTGTCTGCGCACTGCTTGACCAGACGAGTCATCAGAGCCATCAGATCCATATACGTCAAACTGTCCTTGTCCCATGCCGACGCTATTTCTGACGCGGCCACGTCACATGTATGCGTTTTCGAAAACAACCGCGCCATCAAGTCCACCATCACATAGTCCTACGCACGAAATAACACACTCCAACATGACGACGTCCTGGGTACTAACTAGTAGCTCTCGTACTAGTACCTACTAGTACTAGGTAGCTACGACGTACTTGGCACAACCGGTCCACGAGCGCGCGCAGCAGCATCAAATCGGACGAAGACTGGGTCATGAGTTGCCACAACAACTCGTGCTGGTCGACACTTGTGGGATAAAACACTTGGAATCCAATCTAACGTTACCATGACCACAACTAGTACCTCTGCACGTCATGAACGTACTTTGAGCGCGTCGGCGGCGCACTGACTGATCTCTTGCGTGTCGTCGGCCACGGGCAGCGTCGCGAGTTCTCGAAGTAGGATAAACAGCTTGTGTACCACTGGTGGCGCCAGCTTTGGGCACGTGAGCAACCGATACAAGTTGACTTGTACCAGTCGCAACGACGTCACAAGCAGGTTCGTCGTCAATTGGTTTGTGGTTTTCTACATCCCAGTCGTATTATATATATATATATATATATATAATGGAATTCGGGAGAGATATAGCACTACCACACTCGACTGTTTCGACTCGACCGGGTCCAACCCCAAGGTCGTTGTGATAATATCCACAAGTGTTAGAAACGTCTCGTTTGATACATCCACGGCGTACGCCATAGCCGGTGGGGTGGAAGTTGGGTGCAAGTACACGTGGCGAAGCTTCTCCAGCAGTTGCACGTTGTCTTGAGGCATACACGCGCGTCCAAGGCGATCCACGTGCGTCATGATGTGGGCGGCCAGGGAAGCCGCCGTCAGCGGCATACTCTCGTCCAGTGAAGCTGCTTCTACCAACAATGTCTTGGGATGATGGGGTGGTGCCAACAGCCCTTGGTTATTGCTGCTGCTGCTGCTGCTTGTGGGGGGTTTCTCAGCTACTGGCTGCACCAGCACCAGATTGTACTTGTCCCCTACAGCTATCGACACGGGACGGTATCCTTGCCATGCAAATGCTTCGACAAAGCACGGCAATTTGCGTGTGATGTTGTCACCATGTCCCAGGCGACCGCTGTCGCTGTGCCCCCATGTGTACATTTCACCTACAAACAAAATTCAATAAGTTATTGCCCTTTTACCCAACATTTGGTTGCCTTTTGATTCACGAAATCTATCGATCGATTTTCTTTGTCCATACATACAGATGATCGTCAAGGATCACACTAATTTTGTTCAGTCACACACGAATTCGGTGTTGAATTGGTCTCGTTTTGCATACAATCGATTCGAAATTGGAGTGGGGTTCTCAAACCTACCAAATCGACAGGCAATCGATCGACCAATCAAAACCCAAAACACTTATCAAGTGGCCAATCAAATTCTCTCTTCGATGATATGGCACACATAAAAAAAAGGTGTAATCTATTTTCCTGCGTGGGATAAGATACATATATTTATATATATTTATGGTGGATTTGGACAATAGAATATTTATTTCAAAGATATATCAACCCACCGTTGGTTGTGATCGCGGTCGTGTGTTCGCACCCCGCTTTGACATCGAGAATCGCTTTCCCATTTAGCCCTTGGATTTTGGTAGGTACGTCGCGATTGTCTTCGTCTCCGTGGCCGAGTTTGCCGTTGCTGCCGCTGCCCCACGAGTACACACTGCCGTCGCCCGTGACTGCCAGCGAATGGTCCTAGCCCATATATACACACATACTCTGTGAGACGTGGTTCAATGTGAGACGACGTTTTACCCATCCGCACGCCACGGCCACGCAATTCTCGAGTACGGGAATCAAAGCCGGCTTGACACGGCGGTCAGTGTCGTTCATACCGACGCCCAACACTGGCGGCAACCCCGCGCGTCGACTATCCTTGTACCCGCAGCCACATGCAAACGCTTGGCCCCCCGTCGTACAGATCAACGTATGCTCCCACCCTACCAAACAGCGTCTCAGATTCGTTCGCCGTGTGCGACAGCGTTACCGCCTGCCACACTCGCGACTTTCAAGTCCATTTCGTCGAAAAATAAAACTTGGGCCGGCGTCAGTTGATCGTTCGTGTGTCCGTGGCCACATTGCCCCTGTCGATTGTTCGAATTCAGCAAAGCACATTTCATATCAAACTCGTCCATACCTGGTTATTCTTTCCCCATGTATACAGCTGTCCTTGCATGGTAATAGCCAACGTATGGCTCGCGCCGCAATACACGGCCCCAACACCCCACAACTCGCTCTTCACATGTGCAAACGTCACTTGCATCGGTACACTCTGGTCCCCAGTATCCCCCAAACCCAGGCGTCCATTGCCGCCGTTGCCCCATCCGTACACATCCCCCGACACTGTCAGGACCACGGTATGTCCCAACCCACACGCCACGTCTTTGATTCGCGGCTACAACATATGCGACACTGTCCAACGACATCCACAACAACACACAAAGCTAGGTTGAGTTACCTTGTCGCGAAAGGCTTCGACGAGCCGGGGGACGTACTCTTTGGTCGCGTCGCCATGTCCAAGGCGGAACTTTTCCCCGTTTCCCCACGTGTACAGCTCCCCCGCGACCGTCACGGCCACCGAGTGCGTCGAGAGCGAGTCGATTTTGATGAACATCGTGTCCCGACTGGCCTCTAACATGGTTGGCACGGGCTTGTTCTCGGTGCATTTATTGTCGGCGCATGTGACATGGGTGCACGTGCCATGGCCGAGTTTGCCGTGGTCGCCTTTGCCGAAACTCATCAAGTACCCAGCATGGAGGCGTTCGTCTGGCATGCCATTCTACACAAACAGAGGTCAGGAAGGACTCCTACCTCCTCGATTTCCATCCATTCCCACTTACCTCGGTCTCTTGGGCTTTGGCCTCGGCCAATTCATGCAAGAAGGGCAGGGCCAACTGCATGGGCAATGTCGGATCCGCCTAGAACAAGATATAGCCACGTCATACGCACCCCGTTGCCATGGGTTGGAGGAAGGGTGAGTACGAACCTGCAAGAGGAGTCGCACGACACCGAGAATATGCAACAGCCGGCCGCGCTTGATGCTGAGTCCCACCAGTGTGGCCAGCACCGCCTCTTGATCTTCCTTGGTCTGGGGTATCACGTGTTGGACTGTCGTCACGAGTTCGTCAAAGATCGACTTGTCGTTGGTCAAGAGGCGCTGCTCTGGGGACAAGGCCAGCGGCGGTAAATCCGTGAGCATGCGTGGCAAGTGGTGCACCAAACGCAGCAGCGTGGCGTAGTTGCCACTGGCTTGGCTTCGTGCTCGCATGGACTGAATTAGGCGAAAAAATAGCTTCACGGCTAGTTGCGTCGACAGGGGAAGGGATTCCAACGTTGTCGCGGGGAACGACGACGTCGCAACCTTCCACAGAGCAATATAAAAGTTGGTGACAACTTGTTATGCCGTCTCACCTTGTCGTCGATAGCGGCCAGGTCGCTGATCGTGCCGACGGTGGTGGACATTTGGGTCAGTATCGTGAACAGCAACGTGAGTTTCTTGTCCAACGGTGTCACAGGCCACATCCCTTCCAGTTGGTGCAGACAAGCCGCCAAGTGTCGCTTTTGGTTTAGGTCAGAACTTGCAGTCCCCTCATTGATGGCGGAAGACGTCGCCTGCAATGCTACTTCGAGTCGCCGTGCGGCCGAAGTCACCTCCGCACTGGAGATTACTTTGTCCTCTACCGAACTGTCCAAGTCCTTTTCATCGGGTCGCTTCCGCTTCAATTCCTTGTAATGATCATCGACGTATTGCGCCGACGTCAGCAGCGTGATCTCCATTTCGAAAGATCTTGCACACTCCTCAATCGCGGAAAGGTCACTTTCCTCGGAATCCGGATAATGATATTCGCGAGATTTGTTCGTTTTTCACAATTTGGTCAAATACTTCAATATATGTCGGAATTATCTGTAAACGACACACTTTCGTCGTTCGTTGTGATCCTTCATCCAAACCGGTCGAACGACGTGAAGTTTCAAGCTATGTATTTAAAGCAGAGCAGCGGCCAACGACACTGCAACAACGGCCGACACGGTAGCGGTGGCGGCGGCGGAAGACGGGGCGGTGGTGGTGGGCCTCGCCGTGGTGGGCTTGGCGGTGATAGGTTCAAGAGTTTCAGGGTCCGTGGGGAAAGGAGCATCCGTTTCGAGTACAGCATCGGGGGACTGGATGACAGAAGTGTTGGTGGTATTGGTGGACGAGTCAGGGACAATGATTGAGGCGTTCACAGAGGACTTGGTGGTGGTTGGGACGACTGTGGTGACCTCTAAAGTAGTAGCAGGTGCCGTGGTGTTGGCAGGGGCTTCCGTAGTGGGTTCCACAGTCGTCGTCGGGGCCTTGGTCGTTATCACTGGGACTGTAGTCACGTTGGCAGTCGTGGCTGCGGTGGTCGTAGGGGTACTCGTGGTGGAGGCGGTCGTATTGGGGGTACGCGTAGTGGGCACGACCGTAGTGGGGGCAACTGTAGTAGGGGCGACCGTTGTGGTGGCATTTTCGGCACACACGGCGGCAACAAACACGGCAACGAAGGCGAAGAGTACTCTCATTGGGAAAGTTGGTATATTGGAAAATGAACCGAAAGAGACCAGAGTTTCCCACCATGTGAGTTACAGCATTGTTGCTCGTTACATTGTGCAAGTTCAATGTCACACAAAGATCCAGTGATATAAACTAATGTATCTAAGAGTACAAATGGGCAATAAGTATCACAACAACACCTTTGAACATACCTAGTAAAATATGTATACTGTCGTAGTACATGTTGTATGCATTTTAGTGTCCTACCATTACCGCAACTCATCACCGCAGCACAAAAACGTCGATTGCATACACACGTTAAAGGCGGAGGTATTTTGATGTGTGTAGCTTCTACTGTGCGCTCTGCCGGACGTACGTTGGTCATTCAAAGGTACGGACAAAGCTACAGACTGTACGTTAAGTTTCCTTAACAGTAAACTCCGCCTTGGCAAGCACTTCGCATGTATTGATCGTGGCTCGAGGCCTACAGTACCACAAAGCAAGAACAACAACTTTGCATGACGGCGACGGAACGTAAAACCTGACCTCCATCCACTACGTTTTATAATTCTGAACGGAGAACAATAAAATACTATAACATATGGATACAAGTACAGTACTACGATTGTATCCTGTGGATATTGAATTATAACGTTTTTTGTTTCCTTCATCGTGAGTACTGTAAAGCAAGGGTACAAAAACCAGATGGTCGTGCATTGTGCGAACAGTATTACTTGAAGTATACTATTAATAATACTAGTACTACTAATCAACGAGCCAACAGATGCGATGGCCTTGGCGCCACTTGAAGCTGGGGTTGTTGTTCGCGGGTGCATCGGTGGGGTCTCCTTCGAGGGCATTCACGATTGGGTCGGTACTGCTTGGCAGCGAGTTGATGTCATTCGAAGGTGATGTTGTTGGCGTGTGGTGCGTCGTCGTTGTCGGAGATCTCGACGTTGTACTTGATGCCATAGAGGAAGCAGTGCTGGTAGCTGGTTTGGCGGTTGTGGATGTTAGTTTGGCCGTTGGGGACGGAACAGGAGAGGAGACCGAGGTAGTGGTTACCGTCGTGGTTTTGGTGGTGCAACAGTAGTAACCGTACGCGTTGTCGGTGCCTGCGTCGTAATTGTTTGAGTCGAGACGACGACAAACGCAATACACAAAGCAAGAAGGACTTTCATGTTAGGCAAGAGTGAATGGCACAGCTTCACCCGGCAGTTCGTCGAAGCCGCAGAGATAAAATCGACCAATCTCCTGTACCATGAATGGTCAACGCGAGTAGGAAATGCTAATGCCAAAGACACTGGTTTGCCAGCGCGTGGGAAATCTCCCCGGAAGGGACCCAAATCACCGCTTTCATGGCTTGCAATTCTCGTTCAACATGGCAAGAACGTTTCAATAGCGTTACGGCCAGTGCACATCAAGCACAACGTACGAAAAGCACTGTGAACAAGCTTCACATTATTACATGTCTTTACAAAATAAACGCTGTGACATCGCCACTAGATGCGTGACGCGAGCAGTCGACGAGTTTCTTCACCAGACCGTCGCGTGCTAGCGTAAATGAACATCCCCAGGAACGCCATGACTGCCCCGGTGAACATCGACTGCGCAATCACAGCCCCTTGGCCTTTGCCTTCGTGGGATAAAGCAGTGGTCTGGACACCCCACAATGACATCATAGCAGTGTTCACGCCCGAGGCCAAGTGCTCCTTGTGGATCACAGTCAGGACTTGCAACCACTTGACAAAGATGGGAAACGATACGCCTTCCAAGGCATGAATGTCGCGCCCACCGGGTCCTTCCATCGAGCAATGGGGCAACGACTTGAGCACCGCTTGGGCGTCGTTGTAAAAGTTGCTGCACGCTGTGTTGTTCGCGACATCGTCCCACTGGGACACCGAGGGCGTCGATTTGGTCAGAATGGACGCGTACAGTCCCGTGGAAGACATGCACGCCATCAAGTTTGGGTTGTACGTGAGAGGTTCCACGGCTTGCTTCACCTCCTCCTTGTTGCATGCCTCCGCGGCCTTGGGGTATGCCGCCACGTCCATGATCGCCACCACCATCTCCCACGTAATGAGCTTGAACACATCTAGTTCCGCGCAATTCTGGTCCAGTGCCACGGACTGCATCAACTCGTACAAGTCCTTGCAGTTGTCACTGTCGTCGAACGCCTGGGTTTGCTCAACTGTGGGCTGCTTATGGTGCAAAAAGTCGTCCAACCGCATGTCCATGTCCGCAGCACAGGCTGCGCTCAATGGACTGTCGTGGACAGCATCTTCCACTGCGTTCCAGTTGGCTTTGGTGCAATGGTGGGTGGCGGCGGCGGTCGCCACGAGCACAATCACGAGGAAAACCAAACGGAATGTCATGCTGCCGATCCGAATTTGAAAGTGAAAGATCGTTGTTTCATGACCATGACAACCGATCTTCCGGTTCTTATCCGGAATTTCTTGTCCCATCAACAAAGTAAAAGCAAAGAAGCCGTTGGAGAAAAAGGCGCCAACGGTCGTTCGTGAAAAGGACATCAAAGTGTGTGAGATTTTTTTACTTGTCTACTTGAGATTGTAACTGCCAAGTTTTGGCATGGCAGAAGGGGACGGTGGTGTGTTACGATTGAGGCGGCGGCACTTTGAAGGCTTCCCATGGCCAGTTGATGGACTGGAACAGTCGCCATGTCGAGTTTTGTGGGGAACCGGCCGCATTGGACGAGTCGAAGCCCTTCATGCTGGCTTCAGATGCTGCATCCCACTTCAGCATTTCGGTCACGAGGAAGGGGACTGTGGTTGGCGGAGACAGCTCTGGTACCTACCCGCGCATTGACTCAAGTGAATGTGCCACCGCCCCCAACAGCTCATAACGCACCTCGTGGGGGGAATACAAACACCGGAGCAACTCTGTGGGTGAAATCGTATCCCGTCCTTTGCGAAGGGTAATGCGGGTAAGTCCTTCGGCGTACAACTTGCCCGTCTCGGGGCATACGAACCGAGCGCGTAAGTACACCCACGTGTGGTCCCAGTGGATATTTTGCGTGTGGATTTCAAACGGTTGGTTTGGTGGAATGGCATGCCGATACCGAATGGCGTGCGACCCCACAAGAAACATCCACTTGTTGGCCAAGACACGGTCAATGATGCCAGTGTACCTACAGTGCATAGACAAACTTGTGAGCAGCCACCATGAATCCGTAATGGACATACCCGACAGCATAGTCCAACGCCAACTCCATCTGCGTAAAGTACGACGAGTTGTTCAAGTGGAGGTTGGTGTCGGTATCAACAACCCCAATCCGAGACTTCCACACTGATGGAAAGTCGATCAGAATGCCTGGCGGAGGTGGCGCAAGGCGGCGCCTCAACCTCCCAGACATCACGTTCCACACAATGCGAGGAATCGTCATGCTTACTCCGTCGGGTTGTTTGAAGATGTTTGAAAAGTACAGTCCTGTAGTTCGCTTTTACTGTTAGTTGACGAAACGTCGTCCGCTGGAAGTGCATCGCATCCGGATAAATCCGAACAGACATTTCACATGTGTGATGCTATTGATTCTCACTCATCCAAAGCAACACCAGCTGACTTACTGGTACTCAGCTCAATCAAAGGCAATGGTACGTTCACAGTGTATGCATATAACCAAGCGTTATCACCTCAATGTATGCCAGATAGGGCGGTGTGTGAGTTAACAGCATTGGTCTGCAGAGGTGGGGGCAACCACGGGGGCCTTCACGAGCTTGAACGGTTTGCCTTTGACCTTGGTGCCACCCGCGCGCATGTCTTTCGATCGCTCGTATATCCGCAGCACGAGCGCTTCGATGGCCTTGGTGACCGTCGTGACGGCGTCCGTCTTTTCGTACGCCATCGCGTCGGTGTGCTTGTGAAACATTTCGTTCACGGTTGCCACTGCAGACAATTTCGTTCCTCGTCAACACACATCAACTCATCTTGGGAAGTTGCCGTACCTTTGACTTCGTTCATTTCAAACAGTTCGCACTCATTCGTGAGTGCCGACGCTTTAGCATACAGCATGGAGTTCGCTAGGCGGTACGGGTTGACCTTGTCCGACTTGCCGTCGTGAAGCCACCCCACGCCTTCCACGGGATCGCGATACACCTACATATCGCAAATCAAAACTTTCAATGCGAGTAGAGTCGTGTGTCTACCACGTCCATGAGCAGCTTGGTCACTTCGTTCTCTTGGACATAGGCAGGAGGCCGCGGCTGCTCCTTGTCGATTTTATCCGACTTGTTTTCAACCAACAGAACCCCCCCCAACAGCTCGGGGTCGGAATTTTGCTTGAGCGCCCGAAGCCACGACAGCCCCCCGCTGGTTACCCCCGGGTACACCTCCTTGAACGTGTTCTTGTTGGTTACGTCGTATACCAAAATTGCGCCTAATTAGAGGATTCGTTGAGCGACGTTCAATACACGTACGAGTGGTACCATTGACACGACGGTAATGCGAACTTGAAATCGCCTGGTATCGCTCTTGTCCAGCTGTGTCCCAAATGTGCGCCGTGATGTATTGATGCGCGTCGCCGGCTTTCCAATCGGGCCGTTTGATTTTCACTAACGACACACTGGCGAGTTCAGAATCGAGAGAGAGGGAGCAGGGGGGGCGTACGTACCCGTGGCGAACTCTGGGTTCAACGTGGCCGGGCTCTTGTCGTTGTACGACTGGCCTCGCGCCCCCACGGCAATGAGATTGGTTTTGCCGACGCCAGCACTGCCAATCATGATGATCTTGTAGATCGTTTCCTTGGTTTCTTCCTGCACAAACTGCATGATTATACTAGTACGTCACTCGAGTACGAAGCAAGCTGCGGAAATGAAACTCCGCCTGACTGACGGCTAAAAAAATGCCCCCGTTTTGCAACCGTAGCAAGGCCCTACGTCTATATATAAAGTCAACTCCTTTCGTTTGTGTTTATTGCAGGCGCCATATATAACATTAAGGTAACAATCGTTCACTTCGCCGACCGTGCACTTTGTTTCCAAGTCTTACTGTATTCTTGTAGTGATGATGCAGTAAGTATATCCACGATTTTGCCTTATCGTGTTGTACTACGTAGTACCCAAATTCCTGCATGTGAAGGCTGAACCAACTCGCTTTATATTGGTCAAAATGCTACCATTATTTCGTTCAAGCCAATCAAACAAGTCAACGCAGTACAAATGGCCAATCCAAATGAATTAGACCATAGTAACGTTATTAACAGTAAGACTGTGAGTTGTTTTCGATCAGGTTATCTTGACATTGTCTGGGGTACAGATCCATAAGGTGTAGTGTAGTCGTGCTTCACTTACATTGATATTTCCTGCGTTTCTCTCAAAGTAGACATTTATACAGCGGCGACGCACAATTCATACGCATTAGCCACAACTTTGAAGACTCTGATCAAAATGGATATGGATTTTCGGTTATGCCGATTGGTCTTGTAGAACGTCCGTGATGGCCGGGAACGGATTGGACTTGCTCAAGACGAGGATCTTGAGCTTGTGGGAAATATACCCCTTGACATATCCCATAAAGATCAAGTTGGCGACGAGGCTCTCGAGGGCGTCCATGTCCAGGTCCGCGCTGTCGACGGCATCCACCGCCGCTTGAAAGTCGACGAGTTTCAACTGGTTCTTCTTGTCGCGAATGAGGTACACCTTTTTCAGCAAGTTGCGCATGACAATCGCGCGGAGTTTCTCCATGAGGAGGTACACGCCTTGCAGGACAAACTGATCTTGGTACCGATCCATGCTCTAAACGGTCTTGAGTACCATATATATATATATATATGCGAATAAAGACTACTTGGTTGAACTCGCGAATGTTGCCTTGTTGGAGGGCAGTGGAAATGCCTTCGAACTCGGTCAAGTTGTACGTGGCAATCAGCTGCGTTGACGGCACCACGCCCAGAATGAGCTTGACCGGGACGAGAAATTGCAGGATTTTTCTATTCGTTGCTTAGATCGTTAAAAGTACTTGGCCAATCCGATACCAGGAAATTCATCCATTCAACCAATCAAACACAACCATTTAATGTGTGACTTAAATTAGTGTAACCATTGAACAGTATTTCCACGCAAACTTCAGTACAAAAATGAGCGAGGCGATTTGGCACAATGGCAATGTATGATGTATGTATTGTCAAATCGATGCGAATCATTGACTTAAGAGATTGATTAAAAAACAGCCTAAGCCAATCAAATCACGTTCTATCAACAAATTTCTGCCAATCAAAATGTCAGTCGAGTCCCTTCGGGCAAATCAGGTACATTTTGTATTCCGGTAGTATAGTTTGTACAACCTTAAATTCGATCAAATGGATTTGAAATAGCTGTTAGGCGAAAGGAATCAAAAGTCCAAATTTGCGTATAATGACAATATATATATATATACCTCTTGTTGCGTGTGTATTTTTTGTGGCAATGGTGCCACGCAAAGCTCAAACTGGCTTCGGCGTGGTGGTACTGGTCTTCAAACATGTAGATGCGACCGAGGTAGTACTTGTACGTGACTTGATCCCGCTTGTCGAATTGGTCAAACGATTGCAAGTCCACGGCGCGAATGAGATTGCGGCATAGGTTAATCGCGTTCAACTACCATATATGGTTAGCACGAGGGGAACCAGACCGATGATGGCAGACATGAAAATAGATCTTGAACAGCTGGTTCACGATGTACAGTGTGCCCGGCCGCTTGCTTAAGTCGGGCGCCGCGCGGTCGTTCACGGTCATGGAGAAGGCACGTTTGAGATGCTGCTCGGCATTTTTCTACAAGCATGGTGGAACAGATTGTCATGAGTGATGAAGTACCACATTGTCGTGGACTTCCCCGTCGCCGCGCTTCTTGCCTGCTTCCACGTCAGCATAGAGCGCCAGCATGCGTGCGTCGTACACGAATACATGCAGCCATGGCACGAGCCAGTTGGATTCTTCGCGAAACACTTCGAGAAACTTGCTACGAACACACACGAACGTTTAGTCATCACAAATGCCACGAAAATGAGGATTGCTGTACATGAATCCCGAAATGTGTTCGTCGTACGCCAGGACAAATTTGTCCTCGTGCACAAGCCGCTTGGCCTTGAGAGTCGCCGCAACAATGTCATGGTATGCCGCCAACGGCCCGACGAACGAGCTTCGACACGCTGCTTCAATGACGCGATCGTTGTCCAGGAATGGTGCGTCGGAAGTACTCTTGTCGAAGGAAATCGCCAGAATGTTCGCAACATGCGCGCTTTGCTTGCGAAGAAGACTCCCAACCACCTCCTTCACGGCCACAGCTGCGGCGTTCATGTCGAATGGAAAACAGACTCGTGTCGTCAAAATAACTAAACTTCAAGAAAACCGTGTATATTTTGACGAATATTTTCATTTTTGGCGTCAATATTCAATGAGATCCACTGGGGTGTGCGGACCTTGGGGCGTTGGCTGCGCAGGCTGGGGATGTGGGGGGCCTTGCTGGTAGACACGCCTGCCTCATGCTTCAAGCGCGCACTGCCACGTATATACCCCGAAATAACCCTAAATTCTACATATACTGTCCTTCTACTGGGTAGTCTGACTTTCAGCGACCCTTGTAAAACGCTCTTGACGTCGAGGGCGAAAGTAGTTGGACAACGTTGATAGGCATCCCCCGGTAGCTGGTAGAACCATGAATGTTTGGCAGAACGACGCACACATGTACGATTCTGCTACTCGTATCCGAGTTGGCGTCATATTGGAGAAACTCGGATTTATCGAGTGAGATCTATATGGATAAGGTACGGATAACAGCGAGACTTATTGGATAAATTTCAATTTCCCACCCTTGATAATAATATAAAAGAACAGAATATTGAGTAAGCTTATCCCGAGTCGACCAGGGTCCGAACATATTATCCTTATTCTTGTACTGCAATACTCAGTGAGGGTTGACATCTCGCCCAATTAGAAATTGAAGATATAAAAAATATGGACCGATTTGGTCTAAGGAGGTTTATGTTTATTACGTTGCAGTCTTGCACTTCACTCGGAAATCGAATAATTTTTCCGAAATACAGCTGGCATCCAGACAACTTTGGTCTTTTCTTCATGGAACTTTGGGAAAATTTTGCAGTCTTTCCAAAACAGATTGTGGCATAATTTTATGGGGACCAGCCCTTAACTTTCAGTTAGTTTTAATCCACCTAATAAAGTCCGTTATTTCGAAGTATTCGATAATGTGATTGTACAGAATGATTCAATCTGAAACGGGCTTCAATAATATGATGTCCGTCGATACAGGAAATTTAAACTGGAACCGTGTCATTACTCAGGAGTATTGTGATTACAGTGGAATTTTCACTTTGGGTTGGTTGTTTGAACCGCAAACATATCGACGCTACGTTTTGATTCGTCATAAATTGCGAATTTTAGCTAATCATGAAGTATATCTCAATGACAATTGGAGAATGTGAAAGGTCTCACAGATACAATCGGGATTGGCGGCAACACAGCACTTGGCAACCGTTTTTACTTCGCCGTGTCTAATGGGAGTGTATTATGGGATATCTCAGCAGCCAAAGGGAAGTTGGTACCTGCTGTTTGAATATGATTAGCCAATTAGAATGCTGGAAACGTGGTTATGGGTGAACGCAATTGTGCAAGGACTTTCCATCCATCAATCGATTTTTGCACCCGGATACAAATTACCATATAAACCGAGTGAATTTATATTATGAAAATGTATGTCCGGTATATAGAATTTCAGACATGCGCTGCCGACCGAAGAAGGTGGAGCTCTCTTGGTGATAGAAGCGGTCCATCACGGGTTTTGGGGAGTCGTCAGCGTCTTCGACTTGTTGGGTGTATACGTATGGGCGCAGTTCCGTGCCAACTTGGTTCCGTGCCACGATGCATGATTGGTAGAAAACAATCACTCTGAAATTTTCAGCCAATCAGATGCAATTTTGGACGAACTGTTTTCAGCCTATGGATACTTCCACTCTTTTAGTTCATTTTCCATCAACACTAATACCAGTACGAATTTCGACATGATTTTAAGATCTACGAACTGCATTAATTCTCCTCTTTAAGAAACACTATTATAATAGCAATTTGGAGTAAAGGAACCCCTCCATCGAAGGGTCCCAAAAAGTGTCACGGAACTGCACCCATACGTATAGTCCCGATAGACCTGACTCATCTCCTCCAAATTGAGATTTTCGTCATCGAGGTCCTGTTGGAGACGATTGACAACAGTAAATTGGTGGTGTTGGGGCAAAATCGATTGTGATTTACCACGATGCTGTAGTGCACTACAGAATCGTGATAAGGCATATAGTTATGCAGAAGTGTGGCAATTAGTGTGTAAATTTCAATTAACACAGCCATATTGTATTTAGCAACGCTTATTCTTCGGTAGTCCACAAACATTTGTCCAATCTCTACCTTATTATCTGGATAAATACTAGTATTGATTTATTCAGTCCTGGATCACCTACACAGTGTAATCATATTTATGTACTCCAATCGTCGTAACTGAAATGTATTTCCTAAATGAACAAGAGGTCTGGCTACTAGTACCCGAGCACAAGCATGAACCAATTGTGCTAGATACCTCGTTGTCTCATCTCGGTTCAAAGACTTCAACCTACTGTACTTGCCTACTATTAATACGTACTACTAGTATTTTACGCGTGAACCTTGTTCTAGTCGTTAGCAAGGTGCTTGCATGAGTGCCTGAGACTGTACACTCATGGCCATAATACCGGTATAGGGAACGCTAACATTTTTTGGGATATCTCAGCAACCAATGAGGAGACGCGCATGCGATTGCTCTCTATGCCAGTATGATGTGGCGTAGCACCTTTGAACGCATCAATGTTGGTGACGTCAGTTGGATTGGACGTTCTCGAAAGCAAGGAAGTTCACATGGAACCTCTCTATATCTATAAATGATGCAATTATACAGTATCACGCATTGAAATGTCGAGTAGAACCCACAATACAATACCAAGCCACCTACGTACTATCTCAACAGCTGCCGAGGTTGGAAAGTTTGATTTGGAACAGGAAATTGGGCTATTTTATCTCAAAAGTGGTGTTCCCAATAATCGAGTTCACTGTCAATGATCAAGGGGGTGCTCATTGTCAACAACCAAGGGAAGCTGCGCGTGGTCAAGTTCTACGAGCATGTGGTACGTCGACCAATGTCGTACGAAACATGACAGTGCCGTCTGCAGCCCGACGCCGAGCAGCAAGCCGTCATTCGGGATATTTACACCCAAGTGTCCAAGCGATCCGACACATTGTGCAATTTCTTGGAGGGCACGTACGTGCTACCTTTGGAAAACTCGTTGGTTTGGTTTTCATCTAACGTTGGATTAGCGTGCGCTATTGGGGGGACGGGATCAAGCTAATTTACAGACACTACGCAACGCTTTACTTTGTGTTTGCCGTCGACAAGCAAGAGAGCGACTTGGGCATTTTGGATATCATTCACGGTACCAACAATCACATGCGCCTCATTCAGGGTACCCATGTATGGTTAGTTTTTGTGGAAACTCTAGACAAGTGCTTTGAAAACGTGTGCGAATTGGATTTTATATTCCACAGCGACAAGGTCCATTACGTGCTGGACGAAATCGTGATGGGCGGCATGGTGCTGGAATCGAACATCAACGAAATCCTCACAGCGGTCAATGAAATGAACAGATTGGACTCGAACTCCACCAAGCGATCTCTGCCTGGCATGGGCAAGAAGTAAACTGTTCAATTAGTTCAACCATGATGACGCTCTTGATGCCTTGGCCTCGCCAACTCGACATGACGCAACGCTTCGGCTTCCGCGGCCGTTTCCAACTCGTCTTCTGTCGACTCGACAATATCCAGATCCTTCAACCGATGTTTCAGCCGGGGCCACATACTTCGCCACCTTCTCGTTCTTCTTGTATTTTGTCCTTGATCAATCCGTTCGAGTTACGAGCTGAATCGGCAACGACAGCGTTAAAACGGTAATACTCACGTTAAACGCATTAAACGGCTGGCTGGCTGGCCAGTAGCGACAGGACGACTTGGGGTATTCTACAAGATGCACGCGATGTGGCTTTCCTTTAGATGGTGGGGTTCGGTATCTTGACAGGTGGCAACTTGGCCGCCGTCGACATCGCGCGGCACAGCGATCGGCGCAACATCGTCAACATGCGTTGAGGATCACTTTCAGCAATTATCCGGGTCTAATTAACTGTAAATGCACTGTAAACTCAGTGTTGAGTTCATTTTTATTAGCATTTCGCCAATAAAAATGAACGAGGAGCAACTGCATCATCACATTCATTCCTTCGTAGATGAACCCCGGCAACATGTACCAATAATGTTACAATTATCATAACTGAGAAAGTTGGAGTACTCCACGACGCTGGCAAAACCTATTAAGTTCAACCAAGGCGGCTTGGAAGTCCAGAAGCTGACAATCGGAACCTTTGGCCACGAGTGCATCCAACCGATAGGGACAAGTTGAGTCAGCTCCGCACTCTAACTAGGGCAATTTGCCGGGCGTCTTGAACCGATCTGAAGAGCTTCGGACACCCCATATTTAATGATGCCGTGCCTTGGAATACGACTGTTGTACAGTCCATACAAGACCTCACAAGAAGGTATGTCGTGCTGCCATAGTTTGGTGTACTTAGTCTTATGTTAGGGCTGGAGTGGTCGCTGTCGTGCGTCGTTCACGTTGTTGATACGGACTTTGATTGGTCGTCCAGGGGTGCCGGCTGGGGCGGACCTTGGGGCGTTGGTGCGCAGGCTAGGGGTGTGGGGGGTCTTGCTCGTAAACACGCCTACCTTCGTTTTATGCTGCCATGGGGCCGACGGTGATCTTTCCCCAACTGTCCAGCACCATTATCACGGAGGCGACGATGAGGCTATTGCTGCAGCTCATGGCCCAGACGTTTGAAGTCACGATCGGGTCCAACTTCGCTCGAAGTGCCTTCACGCACAAGGGGGAACCGTTCGACCAGTCGTTTTCTGCACAAGACGAGACCGACATCCCCCCCGCGTCGTCGCTCGTGGTAACCAACGAAACGTTTGTATTTGCACCGTTGGAGTGGATGAAGGAGGACTTGAACGGCCTGTTGCCCCTCTTTGGGCGGGACGCCGACTTTCGCAACCTGGTCATGAAGACGTTTGAAGTGATCTTTCGACCGGAAAACGTGCTGGCTGTCACGTACAACCCCATCTTTGGCAGCTTGTGGCGCCTGTGCTGTCGCCAACGGTTGGACCCGCGCCTAGACGACCTCACCGCAAAGCTGTCGCAGTGTGTTCCGACGTTGACAGGGGGCGCCAAGGTGCAAGTGAGCCAATGGCTGGAGGAATCGTACAACGATTCGCAGCGGATTCGTGACGCGATAGCAAACGCGGCACCTCTGGGGCCGTGCTTTACACTCGATATAGGGCACTTGTCCATGTCCAAAGCGAGCATTCGGTCGCTTGCTCGAGCCCCCCAACCAGGGGTGTTGGAGGGCGTGCAAAACATACTGGCGCGGCTGCAATACCACCAATCCCCTCCTGTGTATAGCGACAAGGAGGACGACGACCTAATGTACCTCCCACAGTCCCACTCGAACGAATACCTGTTTTCATTCTTGCCGCATCTCATGTTCCCTTGTACGACGCTCAGTCAGCGAGGCGTCGCCCTTGTCGCGTTGGTGCGTTGCATTTCCAACCACATTCACCTGTACGACCGAGCCGCGGAGTACTTAACGTTGATTTAAGGCACGTGGCTGCCGTTTGATTATGCGGTAGAGTTTCCAGAGATTTTCTCGGCCGAGTTCGTCCAACTGTTGTACCGTGGACAAGCGTACCTGACGCCTTTTGAACAGCAAGTGTACCGTCAACTGTTTGTAGTTCACCGCCTGCGACTGGCAGCTACCAAGGACGTAGACGTGGTAGTGGGCTACACGCCGCAATAGGATAGCCTCTGGCCCGACCGAAAGGCGCGGTGTCACACATGCGGCTACGACACGAGCTTGTCCCTGATGGTCTCGCCCACTTTGTGTGCCATGTGCGTGACCTACGGCGACGACGCGCCCACCCTTCAGGCAAACACCGTCGTGTCCGGCAACGAGTCGCATATCGTGGAATGCCACGACTGCCACGGCATTTACGCCGTGTTGCAAGTTGCCTGACTCCGCACCGCAGCGAAATGCTGGTTTTGCCGCACCAATAATAATATCCCCCTTCCGCCGCCACCGAAAACATATTGTAGTGGCTGCTTGAACCAGTTTATCGATCCTGCAGGACTGTATCGGGCCGATAGGTCGCCCTCCAACGGCTGGCTGTGTCCGGTGTGCACCAATGATGTCTGTTCCATTCAACGCACTCATACAGGCGAGCCCCCACGTCGCCGTCGTACATGGATGGACCACCGACAAAGTCAAGAGTGCGTTTGTCGAGATGGTGTTTCGCACGCCCTACGATTCCATGGTTCAAACTGTTCACGCAAAAACGAGCGGTGCTGCTTGAAACCTCACCGGCTTGGGATGGGTCGACGGTGTTGCACATGGTGATGCATTTCCAAGGCAAAGCGATTCTCCAATCGAGTGCCATCTATGAATCCTTGAAAGCCATCGTCCTAACCGATGAGTTCTCGCTGCCATGTCTTTCCAGTGCATGTGGTCGCTGCCCGACCAAGGTGTGCACTCCGTGCTTGACAAAATGGTTTGGCGCAGCCCAGCCTGGTCACCTGGTGTCGCCTGCAATGCTGGCCTGTGCATTTTGTCGTGGATTCCCCACCCTTGGCGTCCTCCGCAAATACAACCGCGACACGTGTGCGCTGCAGATGGACTCACGCGCCGTCATCGAACCCAACATGCACTACGGCTGGTGTCTGGGTTGCTACCGTGTGAAACAAATGATGAAACGAGATTGCACACGCGACCCCCCGCTGGACGAAGTTGCTTTTCGATGCGCCGAATGTGTGGACGCCCACGCTGCTGTCGACTTGGAGTGCATTCTCGTCGAGTCGCAAGAGTGCCCCAACTGCCATGCTCATACAGAAAAGGCGGGCGGGTGCAACCACATCACTTGCATTTGTGGCCAACACTGGTGCTTTGAGTTTGCCACTGGATTTGACACTGCCCAGCTCGTTTACGACCACATGTACACCTCCCATCGCGACGACGGCGGCAACGAATGAGAGCCTTTCATTTGACATGTTTAATGAATTATATCTAACGTTATATCAGTCGATATCTCCTACGAGCTTCTTACACATGTACACATGCCTCCCGCGAGGAGCCATGAGGTGTAGACACGACTTACACAAGTGAAATCAAGGAATGATGGGTCAACAGCAGGCACACAATACTGTTGGCAGACCACGTTCGAAGTATCCTCCACCACAAACACTAGGGCCCATCCAAGTAACTCGCGCACCCCCAACAACCTCCTTCAAGCCCCCACAGGATCCGCTCCTTCTATAGCGTCGGGTTCCCTTCGCTCCTAGACGACCTACGCCACCCCTTGAGTGGTCACAGAACGTTCGTCACGTCCGACGCAGCCACCATCGCAGATACAACAAGCAATCGTCTGCATATCGCCAACAAAAGGTAATGTGACGTCGGAATTCCGTCGTTGAACCAGTTGGCCCAACTTTGTTCACGACGGTCCTCGGGCATCAAGTCGACAAACGATTGATGTTACTGGCGGTTGGGGGTATTGTAATTGGTCGAAGTCCATCAGTTGGAATGGTTAGGTGGTTGATCAGAACTTTTCCATCTCAAGCGTTGTGTTGGCTAGAATCGCTCATTCCTGAATTTGAGTTCGATGAAGACAGTGGCGATTCTGATGCTCGTGGCGACGGCCAATGCGGTGGTCGACCCGGTGCAACAACGTGACCAAGCGACAGCTGCTGAACCAATTGGGGATCTACGAGCGGCCGAGAGCGCCAAGGAGTGGCGTTGGGGCGGGGGCTATTGGGGGGGTGGAGGTGGCGGTGGTTATTGGGGAGGCGGGGGACACCACCATCATCACCATCACCATCGTTACGAGGCTGCTGGGGATGACACCATTGCTAACTAGAAAGCGACAAGATCTAACCCAATCAATTACTGGAGCTACTTGGTACTCCTTCATTGATAGTACTTGCTACTTTTTCCTCGTGTCGTGTCAAAAAAAAATTCGTATAAACCTACTTTGTAGAATTTACGAAGTCCGCTTCCTTCAAGCGCGCACTGCCACGTATATACCCCGAAATAACCCTAAATACTACATATACCTTCTAGTTTGACTTTCCGTTCGTTAAACGCTCTTGCTGTTGTTGTTGCTGTAACGCGCACTCGCTGTTGACTGCCACGACTGTTGCATTGATTCGTAACATGTCTTGAAATAGTACATTCGTGACATTCGTGGCGCCATAAAAGAAAAGTAGATACTGTCGTGTAGACGAGATGCTGTCCATTGCGACCCAACTGCTGGGCACCCCACCCCCTGCACCACACCCGCAGAATCCATCGACGTCCTCGAGACACTAGTCGCTAGGTCGGGGTCCAAGTCCATCACGTGATATGAATCAAGTGACTCGCCAGTTGATGATGGGTGGGTTGGTATCAAGTGAAAGGTCATTCTTGGATTTGCACGCGACCACCATGAAGACGACAACTGTATTGCTGGTATCGATGGTAGCGCTGGCGACCGCCGATGTGTCCAAGCCGAATGCAGGAGTGCCACCTATTCAAGCCGTGGGGAGTCCAAGTGAGGCGACGCATTTGCGTCATGGCGCCGCGGACAAGGAGTGGGGTCGATGGGGTGGTCGAGGCGGTTGGGGCGGTCGTGGTTGGGGCGGTCGCTGGGGAGGTCGTGGTTGGGGCTGGGGTGCCGGCTGGGGA